GTGTGGGGCGGGGCCGCCCGGAGGCCGCGCTGGCCTGGCTTGGGGGCCCCCAGGCCCCAAAGGTGTGGAGCTGGATCCCACCTCCTGCTCCCGTTAGGGGAACCCCGAAGCCAGGTGCCCATGTGGGCCCGTCCGTGGGTCCCTGAAGCTCCAGGGCAGCCCTGGCATGGCCTTTCCTCCTACGTCCTCTCAGATCTCGGCTTTCCTGTGCCGTGACCTTGGATGCCAGCCAGGCTCCTCCCCCCCAGCTCCTGCAGCACGTGGGAAGCCCTGCGGTGGAGGCTTTGAAGACACCTTTTCTCGCCTGGTTTCCGGTGGGTCAGCCCCGCTGCCCACTTCCTCCTGAGTCAGCACCGGAGGAGGAGCATGGTGCCGGAGCGAGGAGCGTGGGGCCGCCTCCCAGGCAGGGCTATGAAATATTTACATGATACTACTCTATTGATTGTTTTTCTCCTCCGTCCTGGGGAGAGCCGCTCCTGTCTGGGGTTCAGATAGTAGCAAACCCGGGAGAGCCCAGAGGTGCGCCCAGCCTCCCCAAAGGAGGGTTAGCTCCCCCTGCAACCTGGAAAGCAGGGCTGGGAGGGTGGCACACATCCGGCTCTGCCCACTGGCCCCCCAGAGAAAAACCCACCAGGAAGGTGCTGATGTCTGTGTGGGCAGCCAGCAGCTCCGGTGCGGCCCTGGGCCCCCCTCCTGTCATCTCCCTGCCCTTCGCCCGCTGCTTGGACTGCGCACAGAGCGCAGCTGACTTTGTTCTGGGAGAGGGGACAGCCTGTCGCCCAGAACCCCGATGGCCAGGTTGGCCGGAGGGGGAGTCCCCGGGCAGTGCCTCGCAGGGTCCTAGGCGGTGGGGCAGCTGCGTCTCTCCTCCCCGAACAGTTATCAGGATAGATATACCCAGCTCCCCATTCCTGGGGAGTTACTCACCAAGTAAAAGTACCCCACTGCGGATTAGATTACCCCTGGGCCTGGGCCGGGCGGGGGAGGGGACGCCTTCCTGCCCTGCCGGCCACCCAGAGCCTTCCTGCTGTTCACAGAGCTCCTTCCTAAGGAAGGGCCAGCCTCCGCCTCGTCCCCCGCTCCCCCCAGCGCGTGGGGGCACCCTGGACTGTGGAAGTGGCGCCTGAGCCAGGTGGGCCCCTGTGTGGGCGAATCCTGGGGAGGCGTTGCTGTGCCATCTTCTCAGGAAACTGCCCTCCAGAGCCCGCCTGGAGCTTGTGCCGAGTCCCCCGTACAGCTCTGTTGGTTTTGGGGGGGCTTACTCGGTGGTGCTCGGGCTACTCTCGGTTCAGTGCTCAGGCGTCCGTGCGGTTGCAAGGCCTGCGTGTTACCCACCGAGCTTCCCAGACTCAACACGGGGTGAGGGTGGGAGCTGCCGACCCCCACCCCCTCCTCAGGTTCCCTTGGCTGGAAGCCTGGGGCTCGGTGCCTGGGAGCCTGGGCTGGGCTGGGCCTGCGGCTATTCCAGGTCCTGGGGAGCCCCCATCCCCCTCGTCTGCTTCTGACTCTCCTGACGTTTCCTGATGGCAGCCGGGGCAGCCAAGGCCGGGAGCAGGAGCCTGGCCAGGGTTGTCCACGGGCCCCCTTTGGGTCCAGCCCGCTCTGTTTCTGGGAGGAGTGTGGGGTGAGCACCCTGGTCCACTGAGCTGATTTCTCCCCCGCGGCTGGTGGGCTGCATTGCACACGGGGAGGTGCAGTGCCCTGGCCAGGAGGAGCTGGGTTCAGGACACTGTGCCCCGGTGGGGAGGAGGGAAGGGGCCAGGCTTCCCGCGGCTCTCTGTGACAGGTCCAGTGCCTGAGCCTAGGTGCACAGAGCCGGGGCCATCCCCTTCCTGCGCCCTTCCTGCGGGGCTTGGAGGGGGGCGGCCAGCCTCTGGACCTCCGGATGGGCTGGGAATGCACACACGGGGGCAGCAGGGGCGCAGCTGTTGTGGCATTTGCCTGGAATGTGGGCAGACCGGCCCTTCCGCTCACTCCCTCTGGGGGCTGGGGACGTTCGGGCGTCTTAACTCCCTCGAGGCTGCAGACCTGGCAGCTCCTGCGGGCCTGAGAGGAGACTAAGCCCAGCTCAGCCGGCTGCTAACCCTGGAAGCTCCGGGGCTCTGTGTGCTGGGGGCTCCCTGCAGCCTTCAGCTAACAGCCAGGGGGCCGGGGGAGGGGCAGGTCGGCTGCGTCAGCAGGGGCCAGTGTCCCCCAGGTGGCCTCTGGGTCTCTGGGCCGCTGTCCCACTTGCATCTTGCCTGCCAGGGAGCGAACGAGGGCTGTGGCCAAGGCCAGCCGCCCAGACCAGCTCGCGCTGCTCCCGCGGAGCCTGCCGCAGCCCCCCACCAGTTCCGCCAGGCTCTCTCGGCTTCGTGAAAGTTCCTGGCACGCTCCCGGCTAGGGGGCTGCCGGGCTTCCCCAGCTGGAAAAGTCCTTGAGTGCTGGTGGTTATCTGGGGTGACTCCCGGCGGTGGCCGGAGCCCGCAGGCCAACGGCGCCCCCTGGTGGCAGCAGCGGGCAGATCCCTTTCTCCCTTGCTAGGGTGTGATGGGAGTCTTGGGCCAGCACCCTCCCACACACCCTCACACGCACACCCACGGGACTCACGTGTACGCACATCCCCAACTCTCCTTCTGTGGACATACCTGGAGACCTTCATTTCCCTCGAATGTGCTTGGTCAGCTGGCCCCAGACACGCCTCCCCCCTCAGTGACTCGGCCTTGGACCCAGAACCGTCCTGGAGCCACGAAGTGTGAGGCTGCAGACTGGGGGGGGCGCTGTGGACGAGCAGTGACCGTGTAGGGATGGAGGGCCGGTCTCTGTGGCTGCAGATGGGGTCCCCTTCCAGCCCCCTGGGGAGCAGCTGGCCCGTGCCCCGGGGGCTCTGTTTGCTCTGGCAGGGAGGGGCTCACTGTGCCGGGAAACTTTGGCCTCTGACCCAGAGGCGGCCTGCAGCCTCTGATTTCTTGCTGCAGCTCTGGCTGCCCAGGGTCTGAGGGACCAGGGCGCCCTGAGGGACGGACAGTGATGCCTGGGGACAGCAGACCCCCCCACGGCCCGTGCTTGTTCTTTCCGGGGTTCTCCTCCCTCTGCTACACGAGTGTGGGGAAGAGAAACCGGAAGACGCCAGCTGCCCCCCCACCCCCTCTGCCTCCGTGGGGTTTCACTCTGTGTTTGTTGCGCTCGGCGGCCAGGGCCATTCTTTTCTGTCTTGCCCTGATCGTGCGCCAGGAGCTGGGGAGGCCTAGGAGGGCAAAGAGGACTTGGCCTTCCCTGTCCCCCTCCCCCCCCCCCCGCCTCCCCCTCCATTCCTACCAGGGATTCAAGTCCTTTCCTGAGTTTCACGGAGCCGGTCAGAGCTGCGTCGGGCAGCTCTGAGCCGACCATCTGCCGTCCCCGTAAACCTCCTCGCTGTGCCGCCAGGGACGAGTTATGAGCCCCGGCTCTCCGTGGAAACCGAGTCAGGGAAGCTAAGTGATGGTCGAAGTGGCCCCCGGGAGTAGGTGGAGATGTGGGGTCTGATGCCTCCAGGCCCTGTGATCGGGTGGCTCCCCGCCTGCGGGGGGTTCCGAGGTTCAAGGAGCTGTCGAAATGAATGGGAAGCCAGTGTGCGGCGGCCGAGGGCACAGGACCCTCCAGGGGCGGGGGCAGGGGGGCTGCCTTTGGTGTCGTGTTGTGTTTGGGGGCCTCAGACTGATCCCGGTGCGCCACTACGGGCAGCTTGGGCACTGCCATGACACTCCAGGGCAGGACACCCAGGGGCCACTCCAGGGGCCACTCCAGCCTGGCAGGCAGCATGCAGAGCCCGCCCCCACCCGCTGTCCCATGACCTGCAGCCTGTGGTGGGCGGGCCCCGCCCTGTCAGGTCTGGCCCGGGAGAGACGGGGCAGCCCGGGCAGCAGGTGTGGCCGTGCAGAGGGCACTGGGATTGGCCAGGGACGCGCTTCCTTTTCCGCCGTTACCTAGACAGCCGCTTGGTCGCCCCCCGCCTGGCTGGCGTTCCGGTTTGCGGTGTCAGGAAGTGACTCCTTGGGACCTCGCCCCGCCTGGCAGCCGGGACCCCCAGTTCCTCGTGCTGGTCCTGGAGCTGGGGCCGGGGGTAGGTGTGGCCAGCTGGGCTATGCGGCGGGTGGCCGCAGAGGGAGAAGGTGAAGAGGGCCCGGCTCCCTTCTGGGTTAGGGTGGGGTCCCCAGGGCGCCACTGTGATGGCCGCAGCCAGGTTTGGGGGGTTTGGCTCCCCAGGGGGCGGGCATGGCCGCCGCTCCTCGAGCCTGGCTTCAGGTCCCCCATCTGAACCACAGAGTTCCAGCTCCCGGGCGAGGCGGGTTGGCAGGACGGGGCGGTCTGTCCCTGACCACCCCACCTGCAGCCGTCCCCCGGGGTTCCTAGCAGGGTGAGGGGAGCAGGGACCCAGCCCCTGTGCGGGTGTTGGTGTTGGGACTCCAGGAGGGGTGTGAAGGGGGCAGGGGGGAGTGAGCTGCTCAGACCCCGCTCCAGCAGTGCCCTTCCTGACCCGAGGCCGGGGAGACCGGGCCCTCCAGCCGCCCGGGGAATGGAAGCGTCACTCGGGGCCCCGGGCCTCGGCCAGGCTAACTTGCCGGGCTCCTGCAGAAGCAGCCATGGCGGGGACCCCCGTGCTGATGCCTCTCCACCCCCTGCCCCGGCCCAGGAGGGCAGGGGCCACCTCAGGGGCCCCTCCTGTGGGGGACCGAGGGAGCTGAAGTGGGCCCGGTGCTGCCCAGCCCCTCCCTGCCACAGTGCCGGTGACGTGCCCGGCCCCTCCCCTCCCCTCCCACTCTCCTCCCCGCCTTGCCCTGGGGAGTCGGAGTTCTCAGGCTGGCATTTCTGACTCCCTGCCAGCCAGCCGCACGGCCCGGCCCTGAGGGCTCGCAGGCAGGTAGGAGACCCTCTAGAGCCCCAGCCCGGCATGGCTCCTCTGGGGCAGGTGCTCAGGGGGGCCGGGCCGGGGGCTCGGGCCCCCCACCCTGTTCTCACCTGCCTCCACCTTGTCTCCGCAGACGCCCTGCTGGCGGACTTGGAGTCCACCACCTCCCACATCTCCAAGCGGCCCGTGTTCCTGTCGGAGGAGACCCCCTACTCCTACCCCACGGGGAACCACACGTACCAGGAGGTGGCCGTGCCCCCGCCCGTGCCCCCGCCCCCCTCCAGCGAGGCCCTCAATGGCTCTGCCCTGGAGCCCCTAGACCAGTGGCAGCCCAGCGCCCCCCGCATCACCCACCAGCAGGTAAGGGGGTTCCCTGGAAGGGGCGTGGGGAGCCGAGAGAGGACTGGAGCGGGCGGGGAGACGCTGGGGAGACCTCTGGCTCCCCCGCCCGCCAACCCCCACGAGGGCCGGTGACCAAGCCTTACTCACCTCCCTCGGGGCCAGGACTGGGAATTCCCTGTGGGTGACGGGCTGGGGTGTGAGGGCTGAGGGACGGGCTGGAGTGATGGTGACGGGCCAAGGGGCTCTGGGGGTGCCGGGGGACGCTGGGGGGGTTGAGCCCCTGAGCGCTGCTCTCCCTGCAGCCTCAGCCCCCATCCCCCGTCTACGGGTCCACGGCCAAAACCGCCGCTGCCTCCCTCCCCCAGGACGCCGGGGGCTCTCCGTGTTCCCGCGCCGGCGAGGAGGAGCACGTGTACAGGTGTGTCCCTCGCCCCAGCCCCAGGCCCGCGTGCGTGCGTGCGTGCGTGTGCGGGGGTCTGTGGGTGATGGCGGCCCAACCGACAGGCGCTGGGGCAAGACTTCCTTCCTCCTCGTCCTCCTCGTCCTCCTCCTTCCCGTGTCCCAGGTCCGCCCTGGGAGGGACCGCTCGCTTGCCTTGTCCCCCACCCCTGCCTGCCCGCCCCCACCTCGTGCTCCCGAGGATCTGGGGCCGCGGGCCCCACCTCAAACCACTGTGCCTGCCGCCCCCCCCCCCCCAGCTTCCCCAACAAGCAGAAGTCAGCGGAGCCGTCCCCCACCGTGATGAGTGGGTCCCTGGGCAGCAACCTGTCCGAGCTGGACCGGCTGCTGCTGGAGCTCAATGCGGTGCAGCACAGCCCCCCAGGTATGGCCCCCCCTGGTGCGGCTGTGCGGCCTCGGGCTCTCGGGGGGAGGGAGGCCCCAGGCTCAGCCTCCCTCTCCCCCCGCAAGATGAGGCCAACGCCAGCCCCCCGCTGCCCGGGACCCTGAGCCCCCACTATGGCATCCTGGAGAACAGCAGCGCCCTGGCGGCCAAGGCGGGGCCCCTGCCCAAGGAGAAGCCCAAGCGCAACGGCGGCCGCGGGCTGGAGGCCGTGCGGCCCAGCGTGGAGAGTCTCCTGGACGAGCTGGAGAGCTCCGTGCCCAGTCCCGTGTGAGTGCCCGCGGAGAGAGGCCCTGGGCGCAGAGCGTGGCGTGGCCCCCCCCCCCCCCCCCGCCTCCCGGGTGCCCGCCTCCGGCCTGCATGTGCGCATCCATGAGACGGAGGGGGGACAGGGAGGGCGCGGGGCTCACTAGACCACCCTCAGCTGCTCAGCACCCAGCCTTGGGCTAGACTTGCACCCGGGGCGGTGGACACCGGGGCCGAAGCCAAGCTGGAGGGGCCCCCGTGTGACGCCCGCTCACCCACCCGCAGCCCTGCCGTCACCGTGAACCAGGGCAGCCCGCAGCGAGCCGCCTCCAGCCAGCAGCAGACGCGCATCTCGGCCTCCTCCGCCACCAGGGAGCTGGACGAGCTCATGGCCTCCCTGTCAGACTTCAAGGTGCTCGTCCTGAGTCTCTGGGGCTGCGGGAACTTGCCCCCCGCCCCCGGGGTCGGAGTCTTGCCCCCGAGTCAGGAACCCGACGGTATCCAACGTGGGATCTGGGTCTGGTGGGGACATTGCTCCCTCTGGGCGCTGCCTGCGAGGACGAGGGAGCCGGGACAAAGGGCCCAGTGTTGCGGCCACCCCCGGGGGCAGGAGACCTCGGCAGTTCTGCAGGGCTTGCCCGGCTTCGGCTGCCACCTCCTCTCAGTGCTCGGGCCCGTCCCGCCCTCCTGCCTGCCGCCGGCTGGGCCTGCCCGAGGTCCCCCTCCGCGCTGCTTGCTTCCGGCTCCCCGGCTGGCAGCCCTGCAATGTTTTATTTAGAGGCCCCGGTATTGATGGAGCCCGCCAGCACTTGCTGACTTGGCCCTTCCTGGTGGGCAGCCAGGCCTCTGGGCCAGGGAGGCTGGGGGTGGGGCCTCCCGCAGCCAGCTGGCTGGCCTGTGAGGGGGAGGCCCTGGGGGGTGTGGGGCTGCCGCGTTGGACCCCTGGGAGCCCTGCCCTGCCCTGCCCTGCGCGTCAGGCCCTTGCTCGCTCGTGTGGACCCTGGTGCGGGGGGCTTCTGGCTGTGCGCCTAGAGCAAGGTGTTGGGGTCGGCAGGCGTGGTAGGGCTGAGCTGAGTGGGGCGGGCCGCTGCCGCCCCCAGGCTGGCTGCTGGGACTGGACAGCCCCACAGGCAGGGGACAGGTGGGACCCCGGGCCCCTCCACCCCGGGAGATCTCCGGACGCTGGTCTCCTGCCTCCGCTTTGCAGTCCCCTGGTCAGCGGGCAGTGAGGCCTCCTGGCTGGCACTTCTGAGACCCGTGGCTGCGCCCAGCCCGCGGGAGCCCCCTTCCTCACGGCTCCTCTCTCCTCTCTCCTGCCTCTTATCTCTCTCCTCCTCCAGACCTGCTCCTCGGTGGTGGCCTTGAGTGTCCCGGGCCTGAGGCCCAGCTCAGCACCAGGCGCTGCCCACGTCCTCTCTCGTGCCCCTGGGCCCTCTGTGTCCTCGCTGCCTGCTGTCCCCCGCTCCCCTCCAGGCCCTGGACACTCACTGGAGGGCCTCCGTGTGGAGGAGGCCCAGGGGCAGGGCTGCTTCCCTCCTGAGGCTCTCTGCTGGCTTGATGTGCCCGACCTCGGGGTGACCCCTGACACTCCCCACTCGGGGTCTCCGTGTGCCGAGCTGCACGGCCAGGCCGGGGGTGGCCCCACCAGCGCTGCCCCCGGCCATGCAGTCCCCAGAGCTGGGGGAGCAGGGCCCTCTGCCCGCCCGGTGTGCACTGAGGAGGAGGCCGTGGTCTTCCCTGGGGGAGGGCCCGAGACTCCCCCCAGAGCTGTGGCCGGCCCTCAGGAGGTGGCCGAGCCATGTGTGGTGGCCGTGGACCGGCAGGCCGTCTGCCCCGACACCTGGACTCTCACGAAGGAGCGAGGTCAGAGCCAGGACAGGGCAGGGCCGGACGGCGGCGGGCCTGCAGCTGGACCGGGCAGGCCCACCCCAAGTGCCGAGATCCCCCGGAGGCCCGGGGGCCACGCTGCAGCTGCCACTGAGGCCGAGAGGGACAGGCCCGAGTTTCCATTCGCCACGGCCCTGGACACACCCGCCGCCACGGAGAGGATTTCCACCTCTGGCCAGGCAGGCGCCAGCTCACTGGCATGGCCCCCGAGGCTGAGTGTGGCCCCTCCCGGCTAACCGCATGCAGCCTGGCACTGGCACTCGCATGACTGCAGTCAGCCGGCCCCCAGCCCCGGGACTCTCGGTGACAGCCCTCCTCTTGCTCCTTCCGGCTTTTCCATGGGATGGGCCGCCCCGGACGCCCGCCCTGCGGGGTGGAGAGGGTTTCCGGCCTGGGCTCTGGGGCCGCTCAAGCTGGTCAGAGCATGGCTCGCCCCACGTGGGCCCTTCAGCCCCAGGGCATGGTCTGGGGGCGCAGAGGACCCCAGAGGGCATGACCCGGGCAGCTGTCGCTTCTTCTGTTTCTTGCTTGGTCCCAACTTCACACCCCATCCAGAAATGGCAGCGAATCCAAAATACCACGAGCCCGTGGGTCACGTCCTGTAGACAGGAGAAAACAGCTGACCCTGGCCTGGGGACAGCGCCTGGGCGTCCAGGGCACAAGTCTTGCACGCCCTGGGCCTGCCCAGCCCCCAAGTATCTCTGGGGCTGGCCCTGGTGTTCCCTGAGCACTGTCAGGGGCCCCTGTGCTCGCAGTGCCTCAAGGCCCAAGCACAAAGTGGCCCCCGGGCCTTTGGAGCCTCCAGGCAGGTGGAAAGAGTTGGTGGTCGCTGGGGAGGAGCCTCGTTGCAGGTGGAGAAGCGCCCACTCGCACCCTCGCCTCTGAGGCTTGTTTTCATGGTGGGGGCCTCACTGGGTGGTGCTGGAGGACCGTGCAGTGCTGGGGGTCACACCTGGGGCTCCCGCGAGCCCAGAGCCCATGGCCCGGCCCTGTCCGTGGTCCTTGTTCTCCTCCGGCAGGGCCGCCGTGGGAACAGCGCTGTCACCACTGTGAGGGCCTAGGTAGAGGTCGAGGTCCCCGGGAGCGGAGGGTCTTGTCCAAGGTCACGGTGGGGTGGGGGGATGGGCTGGGGGGGCCCCTGCCACCCCCTGCCACCACCGCTGCCCGCTGGGCCCTCGGGGGCTTGTGTTCCGCCCACCCTTCCCTCGCCAGACCCCCGAGTGTGGACTGAGCAGCCCTGGCCTGACCCACCCGAGCGGGCAGTGACGCCGACCCCTCCCCCCTCAGATCCGTTCGGTGATCAGGAGGAGCCGGGAGACGGGCCACGCACACCCCATGTCCCGGGAGCCCTCCCCTCGCCGCCGGCTGGACCCCGCCACCCTGAGCAGGACCCCATCCCACGAACAGCTCATGGCGGAGCTGCAGGGGCGGCTGGGCATCCAGCCCGAGGCGGAGGAGGCCTGGGGGGCGGCGGGAGCATCCCCCGAGGAGGACTGGCTGACCGAGGGCGTTGTCATCACTGTGCAGCCGCGCGGGCGGCGGGCAGGGGGGCCGCTGGTGGAGAAGGTAGCGAGTGGGTGGGCGTGCGCCAGGAGGCCGGGCCAGGCCTGGCCAGGGCCGCAGACCCCAGCACTGGCTCATGGTGGGACCTAGGGGGTGTCCGGCCTCACTTGGTGGCAGGAAGGGAAAGCCCCAGGGAGGGGGCGTCTCCTCCCCGCCCCGCCCGCCCAGCTGCCGTTTCTCTCTCATCTCTCTCCTTGCTCTCTCCCGCCCAGGTGGTCTTCCCGCCCGGCTCCCCTGTCCCCCTGAGAAGAGCCTCTGTCGCACCTTCTCCTCCTGTCCCTTCTTTGCTCCAGCTCTGCACAGACACCTCCGCCTCCGGCTCCTCTCCTCTGTCCAGCCCACGTGCCCCCGAGGCCACAGGGTCCTCCGCTCTCCCCCACGGTTCCCCCGGGGCCCAGAGTGCTGGGGCCGGGTCCCAGGGTGAGGCTGCACAGGACCCTTCCCCCGCTCCTGCGCCCCAGCCCGTGAGGTCCGTGGGCTGCCAGACGGAGGAGGACCCTCTCTTCCCCCCAATGCAGGCAGGCCTTGGTGGGGTGGGGGGGGGGGGTGCCCTGCTGTCCGCCCACCCCTGCCATCCTGAGGCCTCCGCTCTCTGGCCTGCCCCTCCTGGCCCAGCCCTGGCGGGCTCCCCTTGCTGCCCTGGCCTCTTCTCCTCTCCCTGGCCTCCCTGGGGCCTCTCACGCACCCCCCCTGCCTTTTCCGGCGAGACGGCTCATGCCTCTTTCCTCCCCACCTAAGATCCAGGGCCTGGAGCCGGGAGCGGACGGAGCGCCGTGCCGGGCGGGCGGCTGGCCTCCGCGCGGGCAGGACGAGGGCGGGGTCAGTGCCGGGCCGAGGGTCCCGCGGGACACTGACCCCCGCGGCCGGCCAGCCCACCCCCTCCGCTCTCCGCGAACCTCTGCCCACCTGCCCCCAGCGGGCCTGCAGGTGCCCCCCCGGGTCTCCCGAGGCCCCTGGAGGAGGTGGGAGACCCACTCGGGGTGCAGGCCTGCAGGCCCGGGCACCGACTCTGCCTCTGTCTCTGCAGTTCATGTCCCAGGGGAAGACGGGGAGCAGCTCTCCCCCCGGGGAGCCCCCGAAGCCCGGGAGCCAGCTGGACAGCATGCTGGGGAGTCTGCAGTCGGACCTGAACAAGCTGGGGGTGGCCACCGTGGCCAAAGGCGTCTGTGGGGCCTGCAAGAAACCCATCGCCGGGCAGGTGGGCGGGGGAAGGGGCGTGGCCGGGGAGGGGCGGGGTTGGGTCTCGGGAAGGGGCGTGGCCGGGAAGGGGCGGGGCTGGGTCTTCGGAAGGGGCGGGGCCGGGGCCACCACCTGTGTCCCTCCACAGGTAGTGACCGCCATGGGGAAGACGTGGCACCCGGAGCACTTCGTCTGCACCCACTGCCAGGAGGAGATCGGGTCGCGGAACTTCTTTGAGCGGGACGGGCAGCCCTACTGTGAAAAGGACTATCACAACCTCTTCTCCCCGCGCTGCTACTACTGCAACGGCCCCATCCTGGACGTGCGTGCCGCCCCGCTCCCCCGGGGCCCAGGAAACCCCCCGGCCTCTGTGCCCAAGCCCCTTCGCTCGTAGAACGAGGGCAGTCAGCCTGGGGCCGCCCGTGCCCCACCTGGCATCCTCGGTGGTGCGCGGCTGCTGGTGGGAGGGACCCCGGTGGGCGTGGGGACAGTGGCCTGGGACTGGGGAACGTGCGGCCCGGGGATCCGGGGCAGGGGCGGGGGGCGGCTGCGCGTGGCTGTGGCTCTGGCTCGCTCCTGAGCGTCCCTTTGCTCCCGCAGAAAGTGGTGACCGCCTTGGACCGCACGTGGCACCCTGAGCACTTCTTCTGTGCCCAGTGTGGGGCCTTCTTCGGCCCGGAAGGTAAGGACGGTGCTGCCCCCGCTGCCCCTCTAGCCGGGGCCCGTCGGCCGCCCTGACCGCTCCCCCACTCCCGACCCGCAGGCTTCCATGAGAAGGACGGCAAGGCCTACTGCCGGAAGGACTACTTCGACATGTTCGCCCCCAAGTGTGGCGGCTGCGCCCGGGCCATCCTGGAGAACTACATCTCGGCCCTCAACACGCTTTGGCACCCCGAGTGCTTCGTGTGCCGGGTGAGGGCGGGCACCAGGGCACCCCTCCCCTGCGGCTCGGACACCCTGCTTGGGCTTAACCCTGCGATTCCTCTCCCGGATCCCAGCGGGCCCTGGGCCGGGGGCTCACACCGAGCCCTCCACGGCGGCCCTTGTGCCCGCCTGGGAGCAAAGCGTCCACAGAAGCGGGCGCTTCCTGAGCATTGTTCGGGGGAGAGGGCTGAGACAGGGCCAGCTGTGGCGCTTGGCCGTGGGCTTGCGGCCTTGCCGGCCTGCACCCGCTGTCCCTCCCCAGGGGCCTGCTCTCAGCCCGGGGTGGGAGGGGGGTGTTGGTGAGGGGATGGAGTCTGGGTCGACTGTCCCCGCTTCCCGGTCAGGGGCCAGAGCTGGCTGTGGGAGGGTGTTGCGAAACTGCACGTGCTGCCCGGGGCGTGTCCCTGCCCCGTGGCTGCTGGGGAAGGCCGGAGCTGGGGTCTGGTCCCCACGTGGGCACCGACCCGGCTGAGTCCTCTCCCTCCGCTCCCCCCCAGGAGTGCTTCACGCCGTTCATCAATGGCAGCTTCTTCGAGCACGATGGGCAGCCCTACTGCGAGGTGCATTACCACGAGCGGCGCGGCTCGCTCTGCTCTGGCTGCCAGAAGCCCATCACGGGCCGCTGCATCACCGCCATGGCCAAGAAGTTCCACCCCGAGCACTTCGTCTGCGCCTTCTGCCTCAAGCAGCTGAACAAGGGCACCTTCAAGGAGCAGAACGACAAGCCCTACTGCCAGAACTGCTTCGTCAAGCTCTTCTGCTAGGCGCCTGCCGCCCGCCTCCCCCAGCCCCCTCCCCCGCCGCCGCGGCCACTTGGACCCAGAGGGCCTCCCATCCGGCGGGAGGGGCCGCCCCACTCAAACTGGAACCCACGATCTTGGCTGGTGCAGGGGGGCGGGGGGCGTGAGGGGGTCCCCCTGCTTTGCTTCGCCCCAGGCCGCCTTCCTCCCGCGGCCCCCTCCCCCCAGGATGCCGCTCTTGGACCTCCCGGAGGCCGCCGTCCCACGTGTGTGCGCCCCCCGCCCCCGAACCTGCCTGGCCAGGCCAGCACCCACACTGGAGCCATCTCACGCGTGTTGGCAGCGGGGTGGGGGCAGACGGGGTCTCCTCACTCTTCCTTCCACCCCCCTCCCCCCGCTCACCGTCCTTGTTTCTGAGAGCGTTGGGGGACAGCGGGCTCCCTCGTCAATGCCAGCATCTGTCCACTCCCCCAAGAGCCCAGGGTCCCACAGAAGGCGCCCGTTTTCCTCCTGACCTTCAGCCGCCCCTGGCCCCAGCTAGCATCGTGCTGTGCTGCCTCCCGTCACTCCTCTGGTTCTACTGAGAGAACCCTCTCGAGCAATAATGTTTTCTAGCCGACTTCCATCTCCCTGGGCCCCCGGGCCGGGTCACTGTGCCAACTTTCATACGCTGAGCTTTGAATTCAGACCGGCCGAGTGGGCCTTAACTTCTCTATGCGATGCTGTGGGAGAGATTTTAAACACGTTCCCCTTTTGTACTCCCCTCCTCTCTGGCCGGGCCAGTGTTGGCGGTTGGCCTGGGACCCAGGGATCGGTGGCCAGAAGACGATTTGTATTTTTTTTCTTAGCACAAGTAAGGTGATGGGGGGGCGGGGCACAGCCCTGGGACCCCCGCCCCGGCCTTCCGCGTCACAGCTCCCCGGGACCCTCTTGTAAACTGCTGTATTTGGAACCCCTTCCTTCTTTCCCAGGCCCACACAGCCTGGCCTCGGGGGTCCTGCCCAGTGGGGGCCTGGAACCCCGCACCTCACGGTCCTGTTCTTGAAGGAAACTTGAAGGGGAAAGTACACTTCCGGGGCGCCGTTTCCTGCCCTCAGCCGTTAGGAGCGTCCGCTCCCCCCACGAACCCTTCTGGCAACCAGGAGCACCTTCTCAGCCACTCTCCACCTCCGGGGCTCTCCCCTGCGGCCTTCTCAGGAAAGCTGGGATCTGACTTCGACCTTTGGTCTTGCTGATCCCGCTGGGCGTATCACCGCCCCATGTTCCCCCGCCCCCCCAACTTCTCTCCTCCTCCCCACCCCCAGACAGACTGTCCTTTTCACCTTTGGGACTGAGGTCTGGGGGAGGGGGCTTAGCTTGTGACGAAAGGGCTGATAGGATTTGGGGCAGGGGGACGGGACCCTGGAGAAGCACCAAGAAGCATCGAGAACCCCACCCCTACCCCCGGCTCTCTCCCCCAGAGCTGGGACAGGAGCGGGCAGGCCTGGGGTTCCTCAGAGCCGGAAAGGCCACCCCCTGGGGGTGAAAGCAAGGACTATGCGGACCCCCCCCCACGGGGGCCTGCTGGCAGGGGCTCCTTGAGGGGCCAGACGCGCCCCCCCCAAATCTCACCTCCACCCATAGGCCTTACTGCTCTGTTTACATGACCCAGCGGGTCCCAGCCCCAGGAGCTTTGGGGTTTCTGGGTGTCCGTCCTCTGGGTTGATGATTATTTGATGATTTGATCTTTGATTTCTTTTTCTTCTCCTGTAAACTTCTAACCTGGCTTCTCCTCATTTCAATTTCTGTGATTTATGCCAATAAAGTTTGCCATTATTTTCATCTGTGATCGTGACTTTCTTCTTACTGTTTGAGGCTTTTTTTTTTGGTTTTAGTGACCCCAGCGATGCTTGGGGTTTCACTCCTGACTCTACACAGGTGTCGCTCCTGGTTGGTGCAGTTCCCGAAGAGCACACAGACCCCCCAGGGGCCTTTGGCTGGCCACTCATGTTTTGTTCCCTCAGTCGGGCAGAAAGCTGTGGCAGCCGGTCCCCCTACATGGGCCTTTGGCTGTGGCAGATCTTCAGGATGCAGGTTCTCCCCTGTGTGGGCTCCGTGCTTGGCACAGCAGCTGGTGAGTGAACGCTGGGGAGCAGGGCATTGGGTCCTACCCGGGCACTTCCGGTGGATTCCAGCGGGCATTCTCCCCTGCAGCTGTGGGCAGCCTTACACTCGTGTCAGTGTAAGAGGGACACGAGGAAAGAGATTCCGAGAGGAGGGTGATCAAGTACGAGGCAGCCTCTGCCTGCGTTCACATGTGGGCCTGGCACATCTCGGCCGTAGAATGCTGGCAAGGAGCCAGTTTGCTGTTGAAGATGGTTCTCTACAGTTGACGGCGGGCAGTGATGCTGCAAGCTTCTTAAGTCCTGTGCGGGGGGCGGGGGGGGAGGTGCAGGGCTTAACCTTGTTTACCGGTTCTTTTTCATTTTTTGGTGGGGGGGGAGGTCCCTGACTTTGCCCTCAGGAATCACACCTGGCAGAGCTTGGGGGACTATATGGGATGATGCCCGGGATCGAACCCAGGTCAGCCGCATGCAAGGCAAACACCCTCCCCACTGTACTATTTATTCCAGACCATATTGCATTTATTTTACTTATTGCTTTCTTCATTCAACTGTACTTTATATTTTCCATGTCAATAAATACAGTCATGCGCATTTTTTTTTTGTTGTTTGTTTCTTTTTGGGTCACACCTGGCAGTGCTCAGGGCTTACTCATGGCTTGTGCTCAGGAACCCTCATGGTGGCTTGGGGGGACCATGTGGAGTGCTAGGGATCAAACTCGGGACTGCCGCAAGGCAAACACCCTTCCGCTGTACAACTGCTCTGACCCCTAGTTACACACTATTGAGGCGGGGAATGTCCGGGTCACATCCAGCGGTGTTTTGGGAACTCTGTGCTGAGGTCGCTTTGAGATTTGGGGGAATCCTATGTGCTGAGGGGCTTCTGACCGCATGTGAGGCAGTCCCTTGACCCCTGTGCTATCCGGCCCGTGGGTCGTTTTCAAATGACCCCATGGTAGAGGGCGTAGGGCGCGTGCAAGATAAGGTTTCGGTCCCATCTGAGGGTGGCTATATGGGTCACCAGGGATTAACTTGGGACAGCCACAAGCAAGGCAAGCACCTGAGGGCCCCATACGGGTCCAGTCCCATCACATTCCTGGGGGTGGCCGTGGCCCTCCCTCCACCTCCAGCATTGTCAGGCCTGTGAGCACTGCAGGGGTGACCCTAGCATCACGGGGCCTAAACATATTCGGGTCTACAGTAGTGGGGCGCTGAGCATTGCTGATGCTTTTATCGGGGGATTGGGTAGTTAGTACATGCGTTAAGGGGCTTGTCTCACATGCTGCTGACCCATTAGAACCCAGGGATTCCCTGAGCACTGCAGGGTGCGGTGCCAACCCTCTCCCTGCCCTGCCCCCCAGATTTTATTGGATGCAATGCATGTGTGAGCCCTGGGTTTGATTCCTAGGACTGCACCTAATTTGATATTGCACTATCATCCTGGGCTGGAGCGATAGCACAGCAGGTAGGGCGTTTGCCTTGCACGCAGCCAACATGGCCGACCCGAGTTCGATTCCTCTGCGAATCAGCAAGCTACTGAGAGAGCCCGGCAAGCTACTGAGAGTATCTCGCCCACAGGGCAGAGCCTGGCAAGCTACCCGTGATGTATTCAATATGCCAAACACAGGAACAAGTCTCAGGATGGAGACGTTACTGGGCCCGCTCGAGAAATCGATGAACAACGGGAGGACCGTGACTATCATCCTAATATTGCACTATCATCCAAATAAATGTTGATGGTTGTATACTAAAAATAGCTAATATTTATATTGCAGAAGCCATGTTGTCTTAACCCAGACCTCATTTAATCCTCATAACAACTCTTTAATCTTTTCTGGGCCACACCTGGTGATGCTCAAGGGGCTAGTCCTGGCTCTGTGCTCAGGAATTTCTCCTGCTGGCACGCAGGACCCTGTGGGGTGCTGGGGATCGAACCTGGATCGCCCACTGTGTGCAAGGCGAGCGCCCTCCCTGCTGGGCTAGCTGCTGTCTCTCCAACCCCCGTATCACTCTTACTTTAAAGGCAGTGACTCCTGAAAAGGAAATTAGCAGGAAAATGGGACATGAGATGTGTTGAGCCTCGTAGGTGGTTTACATTTCAAGCTTTTTATGCGGAGAGAAACGGGGAGCTTTTGAGGAATCCTGAGCAGATGAGGAAGCGACTCTTGACTTAGGCTGTAAACGATCCCTGTGATTCGGTGGGAGGAAGGGGAAAAAATAGCTGCGGAGGAGTCAAGAGACCTAAATATATGCAATGATTATTCTCAGTTCCACGCCCTCCTCTTCGGCGGGTAACCTGCGGAAGGACACGTGGGCGCTGCGTCGCCGCCAAGCGACTCCGGTCCGGCAGGGGGCAGCACGTCCGAGAGACGCCTCCCGCCCGGGCAGGGCCTGTCTTGGCGGCCGCGTGCCGAGGCGGCTTCCGGGGCTCCCGCTCGGCGGCGATCCCAGCCAATGGCGGTGCGGCTCGCGCGCGTCCGGCGGAAAGACCCGGCGCCGACCAATGGGCGGGGACGCCGGGCGCGGCTTCGGATTGGCCGGCGGCTCTGCTATAAAAGGCTCGCGCCGGCGCGCGGGCGCTCTCTCGCCGGGCGTCCTCGTGAGCGGTGCGTGCGGCCGCGGGCCGGCCGGCACGCGTGGCCGAGAAGGGTCCCACCTCGCGGGGCGGGGGGCGGCCTGGGTGGGGGCGCCCTGGGGCCTGCGCCCCAGGCCCCGGGCCCTTGGCGGGGACCGGCCCCGAGCTCGGGCTGGGCCGTGCTGCGCGCGCGCTAGGCCGCGCGGTGTCCCGGCGTCCGGCCGTGCCCGCCTCTGTCTGAGTCCGACTGTGTCCACCTCTGTCCCCGCAGCGACATCGTCTTTAAACCCCGCGTGGCAATCCCTGACGCACCGCCGTGATGCCCAGGGAAGACAGGGCGACCTGGAAGTCCAACTACTTCCTAAAGATCATCGTAAGTGCAGCCGCGTCGACCCCCAGCGCCAGCCGCGGGCCGCTGGGCTTGTGGCCGGGAGCTGCTGGCCGCGCCCCGCCAGGGCCGTGCCCCCGGTCTCAGCTCCCCGGATCTGCAGGACTGCACCCCGCCCCCACGCGGACAGACGGGTCGAGCGACTCGCACCTGCCGCTCGCGGCCCTCGAGGGTGTCCGGGACCCGACTCGGCACAGGGGGCGTGTCTAAGCTGTGCGGGTCAGATAAGTGGAATGTGCTGGGTTTGGGTTTTTTTTTGCGGGTGGGGAGCTGGTGGGCTTGAGTGGGGGCTTTTTGTGTCCAGAAGCCTTGCTTCACTGGTTGCCTTGTGGCATTTGCCCAGATTCGGGCAAGACTTGACCAACTAGGAAGAAGGGTTAAGATCAGGAAGCCGCACCCCCTCCAGTGAGAGGCGGGGTTGGGGTGTGTCCTGAGAGGGTCCCTGTAGATTTATTTTCAGCCTCCTTTCGAGGGAGGGATTTCAGACGCGAGAGACTCAAAGGTTCACCGTGCCTAGGTTCTGCCAGTAAAACTGCTTTGTGGCTGCCCGGGTTGAGTGCGCCTGCGTGGGGCTTCTTAAGAAAATGCGTTAATGAAACTGAGCCAAAAACCGACCTCACTGAGGGCCCGAGTTTAAAGAGAATGTGACTAGAGTCAAATAGCTACGTTCTCTCTTTTTTGTTTTCTTCTGGGATCACGCCCCATGGAACTCAGGGCTGACTCCTGGCTCTGCACTCAGGAACGAGCTAACTCCTGGTGGGGTTCAAATCCCACCTTGCACTTGCCAAGTGCAAGGCAAGCACTCGAACTGCTGTGCTGTCACCACAGTCCCTAAAGTTAAAGCTTGAGAGGCTTCAGGTTCTAAATAACGTGCACTCCTATCTCGAGCAGATCTGGTGGTTACTGGGTGATTAGTGGGAGGGGCGAGTCCTTTTTGCAGCATGAGGGAAGGAGGTGGGAACCAGCAATGGGGATTTGTTTTCTTGATGCTAACTCCCCAACGCCTCCCAGTAAGTGGGTCTTGTCTGTTTTTCTCCCAGCAACTTCTGGATGATTACCCCAAATGCTTCATCGTGGGGGCCGACAATGTGGGCTCCAGGCAGATGCAGCAGATCCGCATGTCCCTCCGGGGGAAGGCGGTGGTGCTGATGGGCAAGAACACCATGATGCGCAAGGCCATCCGCGGGCACCTGGAGAACAACCCCGCGCTGGAGAAGTGAGTCTCTCTGTGCCCCTTCCCCGCCCCCTCCCAGAGGGGACCGGCTTGCATAAACTTGTCTCCACAGGTTGCTGCCGCATATCCGTGGAAATGTGGGCTTTGTGTTTACCAAGGAGGACCTTACTGAGATCAGGGACATGCTGCTGGCCAATAAGGTGAGGGGAGCATCTGCGATCAGTGGGGGGGTTCTTGTTCGTTTTGACTCCCACAGCAAAATCGGTGGTTTTCAGGTTGTGTCTTCGGAGATTGGACTTGGCCTGTCTTTTTCCAGGTGCCAGCTGCTGCCCGTGCGGGAGCCATTGCCCCCTGTGAGGTCACTGTGCCAGCCCAAAATACAGGTCTGGGGCCCGAGAAGACCTCCTTCTTCCAGGCTTTGGGCATCACCACCAAAATCTCCAGGGGCACCATTGAAATCCTGGTGAGTGGACCGGGCTTGCCTGTGATTTGGCCCTGGGTCTGCTGGGGGGGGTCTCCGTGGTCACTGACTGCCAGCCTTCCCCTTGTTGCTCAGAGTGACGTGCAGCTGATCAAGACCGGAGACAAGGTGGGCGCCAGCGAAGCCACGCTGCTGAACATGCTCAACATCTCGCCCTTCTCCTTCGGGCTCATCATCCAGCAGGTGTTTGACAATGGCAGCATCTACAACCCCGAAGTGCTGGACATCACAGAGCAGACTCTGCACTCCCGCTTCCTGGAGGTACCTGTCCTTGGCCCATCTGATGTCGCCAGCGTTTAGAGCTTGGTTTGACAGACCGAGCCCTGGTTGCAGAGGAGGCTTGCGGTAATGAGGGACAGTAGTTTCTTCTGTCCACCCCAGCTGCTCTCCTCATGTAGAATACCACTGTAGAGACAAGATGGCTCAGAAACAGCACTGGGAGTGAGGGGGCTCTTAGAGATGTTGAATTGTGTTGTGACAAGGAGAAAAGAGACTGTATAGCTAGAGAGGTCCCCGTAATATTTTCAGAACAGTAACTGCTAGCTTTTTTTTGGGGGGGGGAACATGTAATGTAATTGAAACTTAGTTTTGTTAATTGGACAGTTGAAAAAGGCTACTAATTAAATGCCAGGTTTTTTGGGGGTAAGTATTAACTGGTTTTAGTTCCTAGCACTGCATGGTCCCTTGAGCTTGACACTACCCCCAAACAAGCAAGCGTGTTGGGCAGCGATCCATATGGCTCAGTGGCTACAGCACAGGCTTTGCATGCGGGAGTCCTAACACTGACACTCTTCATCGCAGGGAGTCCGGAACGTGGCCAGTGTCTGTCTGCAGATTGGTTACCCAACTGTTGCCTCAGTGCCTCATTCCATCATCAATGGGTACAAGCGTGTCCTGGCTTTGTCTGTGGAGACTGAGTACTCCTTCCCCCTTGCTGAAAAGGTAAAGAATCCAGCGGGACCACCCAGATGGATAGTATCCTCTTTTATGTATCGTATATTTGAACCGTGGCAGGGGATGGGTGTGTCTTCGACTTTGGAGACACAAAGCATATATAGGCGACCTAGGCCTGAGGTCCGCTGTGCAAAACCTTCCACAGAAGGCTTTAAGCTGGAGCAAGTGCTCAAGGGCTGAAGGGTGGGTTGGGGGTCATGGGACTTGGCGGTTGTGACCCTAAACTGCCCCTTGCTTTCAGGTCAAGGCCTTCCTGGCTGATCCATCTGCCTTTGTGACCGCTGCCCCCGTGGCTGCGGCCACCACTGCTGCTCCTGCTGCCGCCGCAGCCCCCGCCAAGGCTGCAGCCAAGGAGGAGTCGGAGGAGTCGGACGAGGACATGGGATTTGGTCTCTTTGACTAATCACCAAAAGCAACCAAAAGAAGCCAGCTTCATTTGTGAAACAGAAATAAAGGCTTACTTACTTCTCTTAAGAGTCTGAAATCCCTTGTGCATTTTGAGGTTTATATTGTGCTGTGTGCTTGAAACTAAAGCCAGGGCGAATCCCTGGAGCGCTGTTAGGACTAAATAGGTGAGTGAAGTAGTGGTAGGGCTATTCATTCAGTGCTCAGATTGAAACTTTGGGGGCGGACTTGGAGGGGGCCTTCTGACTTGCCAGGCGAGTACCTGGGCAGTTGGTACACTACGGCTCTGCTGCGGGCAGATGGAAACATCCCGGCTCAGTGGTCAAGTTCCTTTTGCATGCCTGAAGCTTCATCCCCAGGACACTGCGCAAACCGCTCTTTCCAAGGCCCCTGGATCCTTCAGGTTTTCCTCAGTTGACAGCAGTTTGCGTTGGAGCCACGCCACGGCCCAGCTCGTGGCGGTCTAGTGGGATGCTCCTGGCATCCATCCTTGCCAGGAGCTGGAGCCAGTGGTCTCCAGTGGTCGGTGGTGGTTGCTGGGAAGTTTTGAGAGCTATAGTTAGGGCCAGTGGGGTCAACTAACGCCCGTCTTGTCAAGTTGGGACTGGGCCCTGGGCAGTCCCCTCCACCCCATACTGGCTGGCTTGAGCTCGCCTCCTGGGCTGAAGCATCCAGCACGGGCCTGTCAGTTCGCGCTGCCTGCTCCACCTCCTGGATTCCCACCCGCTGCGGGGTCCAACAAGGCCAGGCACCGAGCTGTTTTTGTTTGAGGGTTGGCATCCCGGGCTCTTCTCTGGAGTCGGACGAGAGGGGTGGGGTTGCGCGCTCAGGGCCGCAGGCGGTGCCTTGCGAGGGGCCCTTCCAAGAGGTCCAGAGCGCAGGCCCACGGGGACGGCGTCCCGGCAGCGCGCGGGGCCTCACGGGGGCCCAAGGGCCGCGTGCCTGGCCGTGCGGGCTGCCAGTCCTCCAGGACTTTCCGCCACGGTCCTCGGGCTCCGGGGCCGCCCGGCCGCCCCCGCGCCCCGAGCCGCAGCCCGGGAGCGCGGCGGCCGCCGTCCCGCCCGGGGGCGCCAGGCCCCGCGGTCCCCGCCGGCGGCCGGCCTCGCCCTGCCGCGTGGGCCCGCAGCCTGACCCGGAAGCGCTCCGGAAGCGGTTCCGGGGTCAGCGCCGGCAGGATGGCGGCCGACACGCAGGTGAGGCGGCGGCGGCGGCGGGGGCCGCGGGCCGGACTCGCGGCTCGGGGGCCGCAGGCCCGCCCGGGGGCGGCGGGGGTCGCGGCCGCCGGCGTGTCGGCCGCGTGTGCCGCGGCGCGGGGCGGCGGCCCGGCTCGTGCGGGCGCCCCTCCGCCGCCGCCCGGCAGACGGGCCCGGCCGGGGCGCGCACCCGCGGGCTGGGACCCGAGGCCGGCCGGGGGGGAGCGGCGGGCGCCGGGCCGGGTCCGAGGGGCTCGCACGCCCCCTCCCCCGAGAACCCGCCGCTCGGAGCGGGGGCCGGCGGGGCGGGCCGTCCCCGGAGTTCGGGGAGCCCGTTCGCGGCGGCGCCCGCCTCGCGCGTCGTCGAGGCTCCGGGTGCGGGAGCGCCGGCGCGGGAGGACGGCCCGGCCCGCCCCGCCCGGCTCTCGGGGCCCGCAGGCCGGTGGCCGGGGCCGGCACGGAGCCCGAGGCCCCGCCGGGGAGGCGGGAAGTGCGTTCCGGACGGGAGGCGGCGGCGGCCCCGGCGAGGACGGCCGCCTGGCGCGCGGGCCCTTCCGGAGGGACCCTGGGACCGGGCACTGGCCGGCCGACAGCGGAGAGCCGCTGGCTCGAGTGCCAAGGGGACCCTGCACTGGCACGAGCCCCATTTCGGTGCTCGGCTGACTTGACCTGTCCTGTCGCTTGTGGCCGCTGCTACTTTTTTCCCTCCTGTCGTTCATCGGGGGCCACGCCCGGTGGCGCTGGTGGGGGTGTCACTCCTGGCGGTGCTGGGCATCTAATCTGGGTCGGCCTTGACTTCTGTGTTGTCTCTTTGGCTCTTAGCCGCCCTGTCGGATTGAGCTTGCAGACCACAGCATGGGAAGTTCTTCCCTTATCAGGGGAAGTTCTTTTGGTTGGACAGTGCTGCCCTAGAGAGCAGCCTCTGGACTTCCAAGCTGTTTTGCCTTCTGCCTCATCCACGGATCCCTTCCTTGAAGCATCTTAGAGTGCTCTTGCTCGGTTTGGTCCCGACCCTTGCTGGTGGATAGCACTCCTTTTCTTCCACCCCCCCCCCCCCCCCCCCACCTCTTGAGTCACACCTGGCCATGCTCAGGGGCTACTCCTGCTTTGCACTCAGGAATTACTCCTGGCAGTGCTCGGGGGACCATATGGCATGCTGGAATCGAACCCGGGTTGGCCACGTACAAAGCAAACGCCCTACTTGCTGTGCTATCACTCCAGCCCTGTCTTTTTTTGCTTTGTTTTTGGTCTCATTTTTGTGAGGTGTATTTTTGATCGCTTCTTATTATCTCATTCCTACTTTGGACAAACTGGGAGTCTGGCAAACTCCCCTTGGCGTATCCAATATGCCAAATACCAGTAACAATGATGGGTCTCATTCTCCTAAAGAGCCTTGAATATAATCTCAGGGCTAGGATGAAGGAGACGTTACAGGGGCCTGCTCGAGGCAATCGACGAATAACAGGATGATTTGTGATTTGTGATGTGATTTTTGATCGCACTTGACTGTGCTTGGGGCTTACTCTTGGATTTTTATTCTTGTGTTTTGGGGAAACACATCCTGTTCACAGCTGTCACTCCTGGCAGCTCACGTAGGAGGTGATATGTGGTACCAGGGATTGAACCTTCAGTGTGCATGCAGGGCTGGTGCCCTTCCTGCTGTACTCTCTCCCCAGTGCTACATTCATTTTCTGACTGAGAAGTGCCAGACATGCAAAACCCTTTAGGTTGGGGAGAGAAACTTTAGCCAGAATTGAAGTTTATCAAGGAAAGACAGATGTCTTGAAATTCTAGGTCAGGGTCAGATAGCGTAACATTTCTTACTCTTTTCAGACAGTCAGATTCCCTAGCTTTCTGTGTTTCGGCAAAAGATGGGAATTTACCCCCTGGAGAATGTAGAACGCCATCACTGGGCCCAGGGAGATAGTAGAGAGGGCAGGTCCCATGCCTTGCAGGTGGCTGACTTGGGCTCGATCCCTGGCACCCCATTAGGTCCCCTGAGCTCTGCCTTGAGTGATCCCTGAGCACAGCTGGGTGTCTCCCTGCCCCCCCCCCCCCAATCCACAAAAACAAGCCAACAACCAGGGGCTAGAGTCAAAGTACAGCAGAGTAGAGTGTTTGCCTTGCATGTGGCAGGCCTGAATTTGCTCTCTGGCGTTCCATATGGTCCCCCAAAACCTTTAGGAATAACCCCTGAGCATGGCCAGGTATGCCCAACAATTCCCCCCCCCCGAAAAAAAAAAAAACAACAGCAGTGTAGTGCTGTCCTCCCATTGTTCATCCATTTGCTCCAGCGGGCACCAGTAATGTCTCCATTGTGAGACATATTGTTACTGTTTTTGGCATATTGAATCACGGTTAGCTTGCCAGGCACTCTTGGTCGCTTGCTGGGCTCTCCGAGAGGGGTGGGGGAATTGAACTGGAGTCGCCCAGGTGGGCTGTGTGCAAAAACAAAAAACAATAAAAATAAAAACAAAACAAAAAACCCAGGGGCTGGAGCATAGTATAGGAAGTAGGGCATTTATCTTGCACATGGCAGACCTGGGTTCCATTCCTGGTATCCCATGTGGTCCCCTGAGCATGCACAGTCAGGAGTAATTGCTGAATATGTAAAATCAGCAGTGACTCCCGAACATCACTAGATGTGGCCCCAAAACACAACAAAAAAACCTACCACAGAAAAACCACTCCTGTCCAAAGTGCCAGTTATGTGGTCTTGTTATGTGATCTAATAGCCAAGGAAGTCATCAGCAGTAGAATTTAAGAAAACTTCCCAACAGCTGAAGGGTGTGTTTCCAGACCCAAAATGCTCAGCCCAGTACACAGAAACAGACTAACAGTAAAGCATGTTTGTGTGAAATCCTAGAACCCTGCACACAAAGAGATGAGCTGAAACTTCAGGGTGGAAAATCAGTTCCCACTGAGGACTGAGAATCAGATGTCTTGGCCTTCACAACAGCACTCCAAGCTAGAATTCATTTGAGAAATGTCTTCAGTATTCCCAAGGAATTGAATTTCTGCGTAGAATTCTTTACCCAGGCAAGCTTGTTATTCATTTATTTTTTGAGTGTTAGGCCACACCCAGCTGTACTCAGGACTTACGCCTGACTCTGCTCAGGTCAGTTCTGGTGGGCTTGGAGGACCAGATGGGATTCCAGGGTTAAACCCTGGTTGGCTTGTGCAAGACAAGTGCCCTACCCTCTGTGCTGTCTCTCACAGGTGGGTTGTTTAGAGATTCAGGGATAACTGCCTAAACACTCAGTCTGCCCAGAGAAGAAAGTTGGTCTGGGGACATGAGGGCGGGGAGGTACCGTTTGCGCCACACCAGGTGGAGCTCAGGGACCATTTCTCGTGGGGTCTTAGGGGTTGTCCCTAGCAGCACTTGGGGGACCATCAGTGTCAGGCATTGGGGGCTAAACCTGGATGTTGAACCCAGGCCTCTGGCTGCAGAGCATGAATTTTGTCTCTCCAAGCTCTCTCCAAGGGGCTCTTCTTCACAGTAGGTCTTCCAGAACGACTGTGCTGTTTGCTTTGGCGGGGGGTTAGGGTCCACTTTTGTCTTCTGGCCAGACTCACCCACATGTGGCTTGGGGAATATTGTTGGGAGCCGAGATTTCAGAGGTAATTGTCGACCGTCCCCTTCGCTGGCCCCCCTTGTATGAGTCCTCTGCAGGCCCAGATTGGCGGTTGAACGCTTGGACGCCAGAGCATGTGTCGTGGACTTCTGGGTTTCGGGTTTAGTTTCAGATCAGCAGATGCGGGGGCTCTCCTCTCCACGGCAGCGCCAGGGTCGGGGAGACGCACACCTGCGCTTCGGTCTCTGCCCCGCTTCATGGTGGCCTGCGGCCTCTAGCAGTCTTGGGAACTGAGATCGAGGACATGACGTCATAGGCATGTCAAAGGGCGAGGCAGAGCTGCAGTTCCATCTCGGCACCGGCCCCTGTGCCGGTGCTCCCAAAGGTGTCTCCTTCCGGGTGAAAGGGCAAAGACCTGCCAGGGAGCAGGTCCTCACTAGGCTCTGCAGGATTCTGAACGGAGATTTTCCTGTCCTGATGTTTGAGGTGGTCGTAGATTTGTGCCTTTTTGGGGGGATGGGGTTGCGCTGGCGAGGTTTAAGCCCATACCTGGTGGTGCTTAGGGAGACCTTTTCCTGGCCCTGTGCTTGGGGGCCACATTGTGGAGACAGGGATTTGAAGTGGGGTTGGCCGCATACAAGGCAAACCCCTGAGCCCCTGTACTGTCTTTTTGGCTCTTCCTTTCCTTTTTTTTTTTTTTTGGCTCTAGTTACCGTCCATTGACTGATTTGACTGGTCTGCATAGAGCAATACACCTCAGTTAGAGGGTGATCTTTGCCGCCCCCCCCCCCCCCCCCCCCCGAGAGATTAACTGTGTGTGGATTGTCACAAGTAGGCCCGGGAGGTATGAATTGCTCCTGTCAGCCTCCTGCAGTGGCCAGGCCTGCAGTGGGGGGCTGGGGAGAGAGCCAGCTTCAGTCGTGGTCCCCTGAGCACAGCCAGCTGGGACCCCAAGACAAAACCAGATGAATCCTGTGGCATATTAAAAGAGCCCCCAGCCAGCAAAAGTACTCAGTGGCCCCACATGTCAGTGGCACAGAGGTTGAGAAACCCCGGGAAAGATGACTGTCCCTGAATTCTCTTCCCCCTTTCTGCAGAAGGGGCGCGCGCACGCACTCACTGTTGTGCAGTTGGACTAGTCAAATCTCTGTGACCTTGGTCTTCACAGGTTTCTGAGACGCTGAAGCGCTTTGCAGGGAAGGTGACGACAGCCAGTGTGAAGGAACGCAGAGAAATCCTCGGTGAACTGGGGAAATGTGTTGCTGGAAAAGGTATTTATTTTCCATCGGTGGAGTCTGGGGCGAGTCCGTCTCAGGGTGAGCTGGCTCCCGTGCGAGCTGCAGCCTCCCTTCTGGTTTCTGCCCGTGCCCTCTGTGCTTGCTGGGTAGGATGGCACGGAATCCGGTGGAGTGGTGGCGTGTTGATCCATTCCTGTGCCCAAGCTCTTTAGTTTTAACCATTCTACGAGAAATACTTCTAGAACATACCGACTGTTTCCGCTAAGTAATTTACTGCAAGCAAAAACATTGTGACCTGGAGCGCCAGTTTTTCCTCATCTATGTTCCTTGGAAGTCAGCCAGATGGTGACAGGTCACCAGCCAATAAAGGATTGAAAACATTTGGAAGATGTCATGTTATTTAACACCTTTTTGGAGTCTCACAGCAGGTTCCAGGAAGGTGTTAGTGAGCCTCTTTGATGCATTGTTTTCTTTGAACCTTTTTTTGGGCTGCAAACCTACTGAAGGCCTGGGAAACTCATTTTTATTTATGTTTTACTTAATTTGTTTGCTCGAGGGCTTACCTGGTGATGCTCAGAGATCACTCCTGCTTTTGCACTCAGGAATCACTCCTCGTGATGCATAGGGGACCATGTTGGATGCTGGGGATCGATCCCAGGTTGGCTGTATGCAAGACAAGTACCATTCTCACTGTCCTATCGCTCTGGCCCCACATTTTGCTTTTTTTTGGGGGGGGGGGCGGTCACACCCAGCGATGCATAGGGTACTCCTGGCTCTGCACTCAGGAATTACTCCTGGCGGTGCTCGGGACCATATGGGATGTTGGGAATCGAACCCTGGGTTGGCTGCATGCGAGGGCGAACGCCCTACCCGCTGTGCTATTGCTCCAGCCCTTGGCGGGCACTTTTTCCTTCTATACTTTTAGGCACTGTGGTTTACCCTCCTCACCTTCTTTCAGCACCCCGTCTGGGGTGACCACTTCCCTTTGTTGTTGTAGCGGTGCTTTCACTGGGAACCACGTTTTGGGAAATGCTGCACCACACGTCCTTGTCCTGATTCTGTACCGTAATTCAGGGCGACCCCTGCAACTTTTGGCATGATACCAAGACGAGTTTGCCATCACTCAGTACCACCCCTCTCCCTCTAAGATTTTGGCCACATGCGTGGTGCTCCGCACTTAGGGGTCATTCCTGGTGGGGCCGGGGGACTGTCTGGTACCAGGTATCGAACCTTCCGAAGTCCTGGTCCTTTCCTCATCTGGGTCCTAGCTAGAGAGATGCCCGTGACCACAGACAGCTGCTCAGGAGGGACTGGTCTGCTGTATGGGGGTGCAGCTCGGGAACTAGTCGGGGCCCCGGCAGGGGGAGTGGGTTCTGCAGTCCTGAAATTCCCACGGTTCCAGGTGAAGGACAGGTGTGATGCGTTTGGTAACCTCTGCTGCGTGGAAGAGGAACCACTCCTGTGTGAATTGTTCTCAGTTTTCTAATTGTTGGAGACTGAGAGGCCCCCCATGGATGGTGATCATTACTCTGACCGCTCCCTAAGCCCAGGGAGGAGAGAGCTTTCTGCATGGCCTGGGGACCGAGGGCCGTCTCACCTGGATGGTGGTGGTCTCCACGGTGTGGTCCGGCTTGGCCCTGGCACCTCTCCTCTCCCTTGTGATTCTTCTCCATCCTGCCTCTACCTCCTGTAACTCCGGGCTGGACCACGCCGAGTTCTGTTTACTCTGGTCTGAGATGGAGGAGAATTGCCCCCCACAGGGTCGGTGCTGGTGGAGCGGGGTGCTTGGCTCTGGTCAGCTGGAAGTGGAGATTTGAGCTTCTTCCTGGTTTCTCTCTGCCGCAGGGCTCCTCTTTCCCTTCCCTCCATCCTCTGGGTGTGACGAGTGCCACGTCGGCCTCCTGTGTGTCTTCACAGCCGATTCCGTTTCCCCCTTGCGGACCCTGTCCTCAGTCTGGCAGGCGTAGTCAGGCACTGGTTGACTTCCTGGCGTGAAGCTCAGAGGTGCCGCCCAGACGTCCCTTTTGCCTGGCGGGCCTGCTTGGTTTCCTGTGCCTGGGTATTTCGGTCTGTGATTGGGAGCGGAAGGGCTTGACTGGGAAATGCTTGGAGCACCCCGGCACCGGCCCGTGTTCCGACAGCGGCGCCTTCTCCTGCTCCTGTCCTCTGGGCTCTGTGTGTCTGGCCCTTGTGCTTGTCTCGGGGTGATGTGCATGCCTGGCACTTACCTCTCTCCAGTTTTAGAGAGCCCCCGGTCTAGGAGGCCATGCTTCTCTGCCCTGAGTCCTTCAGAAACCACCCCAGTTACATCCCGTTTCTTGGCACCTTATTTGACTCTTGCTAGTTTCTGGGTCATGCCAGGCGGTGCTGAGAGGCCACTTCCAGTGATGTTGGGGGAGCGTGTGGGACTGGGGATTTCAGGGCTCCTGCTTGCAAAGTACACACTCTGGCCCGCTCATGCTACTTTCTTCTTTTGGCACCAGGGATCGACCCCAGGTTCTCACGCATGCGAGGCAAACCTTTCCCACCTGGCTCCATCACTGGCCCCTCGTCCAATGTTTTCATACAGTTCATTATTTTTATTTATTTATTTAAAATTTTTTTATTTATCGAATCACCGTGAGAACAGTCACAAAGGCTTTCAGTTTGTGTCGGTCGGTCATACAATGATCAAACACCCATCCTTTCACCAGTGCACATTTTCCACCACCAAGAGCCCCAGTATACCCCCTTCCCACCCTCCCCCTGCCTTTGTGGCTGATTTCCACTTTACCCTCTCTCTACATCGATCACATTCAATACTCTAACAAAAGACCCACCATTATTATTTGGAATTCTCCCCAACAATCAGACCTGCCAAAAAGGCATCATTAGATAATTTGTTTTCTATTGCTGGTTATAAAGAGTATATGATGTTATGAAGAATAGATGAAGAGTATATGATTTTGCTGATATTCTAGTAATAAGTCGGGAGGGATTACTGCCAAAAGCTGTTGGGTTCTGAGATTAGTTTGTGAGCCTCTGGAGGAGGGAACTCGGGGCCTCGTCAGGGTGGGAAGAAGGGCCAGTTCCACCCCCCATACCATGAGGTCCCACGTGCTTTGTCATTGCAGTCTCATACCTTAGTTCATTGGGGTCTGAAAGATTGCAGCCACCATGCCACCGCCACCAGGGGGAAAAGGCAGAGGGACAGACACCCTTCCCCTCCTGGGGATACCTGGTTCATCAGAGTAGACACCAGCACAGTGCGCAGCTCGTTCGCGAACTGCTCGCCAAGTCGTCTGCGGGGCTCTCAGCCCCTACCCCTCGCCGGCATGGCCTCAGCCCCTCCCACGGCCACTTCGCAGCGTGCTGTATCCTGAGGCCACTTGTTCGGTCTTCATGCATTCCCTTAACAAGTGTCCTCTCCAGGTGTTTTCCTGGCGTTTTGTCCTTGTTTTGTCCTCTTGGGAACTCATTGTCATGCGGAGTGTCTGGTGGGCAGAGTGTCCGGTGTCAGTCCAAGTGCCTGACCCAGGCAGATGCTCAGGAAATTGTTTCATCGACTCATCTCTGTGGAATTCTTGGTTTCAGATCTGCCCGAGGGAGCGGTGAAAGGGCTCTGCAAGTTATTCTGCTTGACTCTGCATCGCTACAGGTGAGCCCGGAACAGGGCCCAGCCCTTCGTGCGTGGATGCAGGTGCCGAGGGGTGAGGGGCGATCCCAGGTTTGGGAGCCAGACTGTCTGGGTCTAGATCTGGGCAGGCTTCTTTTTCTTTGTTCTTTCTTTCTTTCTTCTTTTGGTCTTTTCTTTACTGGGGTTTTTGGGCAACACTTCATGGTGCTGAGGGTCTTCTCTTGATCCTGTGCTCACTAGTGACCCTTGAGCATCGTGGGGACCCTTTGCTCTTCCGGGGCTTGAACTAGGGTCACTGGCATGCAAGGCAAGTGGTGTGACCCCTGTACTATCTCTTTGGCTCCCCGGGCAGGTTTCTTGGCCTTTCTGTAGCTCTGTGTCCTTGTGCAGAATGGGGATGCTCTCACCTACCTCCTCGGGCTGTTAGGGAGTGTCAGGACCGCTCAGGACTGCTGGGTCTGGCGTGTAAGAGCATCTGGAATCACCTGCATGGCATCTTGGGGTGCATAAGGGACTCTCTTCCCCCTTCCCTCTCCTGTTCCCTAAGAAAACGTGTTCGCACTATACACGCACAGATAAGCAAGAACACTTGCTTATTTATGGTTAACATCCATAAATCTAGATGTTGTCCTTAATTGACTCATCTACCTCGTACGCCACTTCCTGGGTGCTGGGAGAGGTAGACTCACCTAATGTGTCCTCGTCTCGTCATCTGTGACCCATTGTGGGCCTGAGCAGTCCGATTCTTCTGTGCTGCCCAGCCCGTGGTCTCAGCAGCCTCGTCCTGGCCACAAGTCCGTGTGTCTGCTCACCTCGTGCTTCCTGCTTCCCTAGGGATGCGGCCTCCCGCAGGGCCCTGCAGGCTGCCATCCAGCAGCTGGCCGAGGCACAGCCGGAAGCCACGGCGAAGAACCTTCTGCAGTCTCTGCAGTCTTCCGGCGTTGGCTCCAAAGCGGGCGTGCCCAGGTACGTGGCGAGGCCGCCGCAGGGGCACCGTGGCGGGAAGGAGTGAGCTGTGCCCCCCCCCCCCCTCGGCCCCTCTGAGGGTGCCATCTGTCTGTCTGTCCATGCGCTTGAGGTGGAGAGAGGGACCCAGGTGGCCGGCTCGGGCATGGGGCTGGGAAAGCCTCAGAAATAAAACCCATTTTGAGAGGAGACCAAGTGTGCCCCCGGGGAGCATCTTGTTGGTGATTGTTTGACTGGCGAGGCCCGTCTCCTCGTCTTGCTTCGCACGGATGGGGTGTGGATTCAGTGGGCCCGGAGGGGCCTGGGGCGCGCAGACTGGGCCTTGCTGCTCCCTCACCCGCCCTCCTCTGCCCCCAGTAAGAGCAGCGGTTCGGCGGCCCTGCTGGCCCTGTCCTGGACCTGCCTCCTGGTGCGCGTCGTCTTTCCCTCCAGAGCCAAGCGGCAGGGAGACGTCTGGAACAAACTGGTAGGTTCTCTGGGTCTGTGGAGTCACGATGGCCAGCTTCCTGCCCATCGTTAAGCGTGTGTGAGTTGTTTCTCTGTGCCACGGGCTCTTCGGGTGCATGGACACAGCACGGTGACGTCTGGCTGGTGATGGGGCATCTTCGAGCTGCTCTGTGTCAGATGGGGGGCTGGGCCCAGGGGACCCGGCGGTGCGGCGAGCCAGAGAAGTGTGCCAGGATTGCGCTTCGCACGTTTGGTGGCATCGGGAATTGAATCCACAACCTTCTGCTAGCCAGGGCAGGTGTTCAGCATTGCCGAGCAGTTACTTGGATTCCCAGGTTTCTGTTGAGGGTCTCAGTTGCGACGTTCTAGGAGCCGGGGCTGAAGTGGGACACCCACAGAGGAACTTGCTCTCTTAGGATACATGTGAGATGGGAAGGTTTGCAGCGGGAGGGGCGGGAGGGGAAGGTTTGTAGCAAGAGGGGAAGGTTCGCAGTGAGAGGGGAAGGAAGCAGCAGTATGTTTGTTCTGAATATCAACGAACTTTAAGAACAAATTTAGAAGTTCGTGGGGTGTGGGTTTGCCCAGTCGGGTCTTTGTTTGGGTAGCCACAGTTCCTAGCATGGCACCTGTTCTTAGTGTTCGTTGAGTATTTATGGACTTAATGAAGGAAAAGTTGAGGCAGATAACAGTGTCTGAAGCCGAATACCTGCGTCTTCTTTTTTCTGCATGGCATTGTGCTGGGGATACGTGTGTGTGTGTGTGTGTGTGTGTGTGTGTGTGTGTGTGTGTTTCGAGCCACACTCCTGGCAGTGCTTGGGGGACCATATGATGTGCTGGGGCTTGAACATACTGGATCTGCCATGTGTAAGGCAGATGCCCTGCCCACTGTACTCTCTGGCCCCAACATATTCCCTCTAGTCTGTAAGATGTTTGAAAGCAGGGACTTTGTCTCTTTTGTTCCTCTTGTGTTCCTTTTTATGTTTTTGATTGGGGACCACAGCCGGCTGAGCTCTGCACTCAGGGCTCACTCTCGGTGGGGCTCAAGGGACCAGGTGTGGTGCTGGGGATCGAACCTGGGTCGGCCATGTGCAAGACAAGTGCCCTCCCTGCTGGACTATCTCTCCAGCTCCCCAACAAAGATTTTTTTTTAATGCTTTGGTGAACAGAGGTAATTCCTCTAACCCAGCGTGGGGGTATAACGGAAGGAGATGTGGCGGGAATCATATCAGGGAGATTCGGGCCTGGCAGGCCTGCTGCGAGGCTTGGGCAGAAACCGAGGGCCCTATCGTGGCTGACCACGGCCTCTCCCCGCCCTGCAGGTCGAGGTGCAGTGCCTGCTCGTGCTGGAGGTGCTGGGCGGCTCCCACAAGCATGCTGTGAATGGCGCTGTGAAGAAGCTCACCAAGCTGTGGAAAGAGGTGACAAGAGGCGACCACGGTGGGGGGTGGGGCGGTGGGCTCCGTGGCAGAGCCTCTGCTGCTTGATCATGCTGGCTCTCCCCTCGCCCTGCAGAACCCGGGCCTGGTGGAGCAGTACTTGTCAGCCATTCTCAGCCTCGAGCCCAACCAGAACTACGTGGGCATGCTCGGGCTGCTGGTGCAGTTCTGCACGGACCACAAGGAGATGGACGTGGTCGGCCAGCACAAGGCGAGTGTGCCCCTGGGAGGGGAGGAGGGGCCTGCCTTTTGGCCCGGTGGCCCTGAGACCTTGCTGTGGAGCATGAGTTTCCAGCAGGTGCAAAATGTTCCCTCCATCTCTGGCTTGGGGCGGTTTCAGGCAGTTCCCAGGCTGATGCTTGGCCCCTTCATGCAGTGGTTTTATTCTCCCACGGCTGTGAGCAGCTGCTCCATGGCACGCCAGGCCTGGGGGACACAGCAACCCATTCGGGAGCAGTGATCCCTGCCCCAGGAGGCGTCTCTGGCCTTAGATTGACTCCGAAAAGGACTTCGCTGTGGAAAGGGGCTCGGTGAGGGACGCTGTCGCAGGTCAAGGGGCAGGAGCGCTTCCTTAAGGAAGGGACTCACTCGAAGGGTAGGAGGTGAGGAAGGGCAAAGTTTGGGGTGCGAAGAGCTCCAGCAGGAGCGGCTGAGTGGGGTCAGAGCAGAGGTGAGGCACTGCGGCTCGGTAGCACGAGGGCCTCTGGGCGTCCGAGGAACGGGGCGTGTGGTGCGCTCAGTGGAAGCTCGGTGTCTGACACCTGACTTGTGGGCTACTGATTTGTATCTCCAGTGACCAGGTAGCCAGATTTTCGGGCCCTAACCAGGTCTCTCTGTTCTCCAGGCGGCCCTGCTGGAGTTCTACGTGAAGAACATCCTGATGAGCAAAGTGAAGCCCCAGAAGTACCTACTGGTGAGTGACCGCAGGGCCGCCCTTGCCTGGACAAGCCGAGTCCCCTTCTGAGTTCTGGGCTGCACCACTGTTCTCAGTAGCCGCCTTACTCCCTGATTATCTCTCTCTATCTCCCCCAACTGCTCCCCGGCGGGTGTGTGTGTGTGTGTGTCTTGGTGGTGTTCATTACTTGACTCCTGACTCTGTGCTCAGGGATCACTCCTCGCAGTGGGTGCCAGGGGTTGAAGCAGGGTTGGCCACGCGCACGGCTCACACTCTGTCCCTGTGCCTCTGTCCGGCCCCTGATCCCTCTGGTCTTGCAGGATAGCTGTGCGCCCCTGCTGCGCTACATGTCTCACGCGGAGTTTAAGGACCTGATACTCCCCACCATCCAGAAGTCCTTACTGCGGAGTCCCGAGAACGTCATCGAAAGTAGGTCACTGCCGGAACAGGACAGTGGCAGAGAGACCAGCTCCTGAGAGACTGCATCCTCAGTCTGTGGCAGTGGGGAACAGGGGTTAGCAAGGGACGTGTTCACCATGTCCCTTGCTGGGTGGGGGAGAGGCAGAGATGAGGCATCCTTGTGAGATTACACTGAAGGCCCTGCGTCCTCCTGGTCAGGCATGCACAAAAGCATCTTCTTAGAAGACTGCCCACAGTTTCCAGGTCGTGAGAGCCTTCTGCAGGCCGTGCAGGTTAGGGGCCTCGTTTCTGTCTGGCCAGTCGGAACGTGGTGTGGGAGTAGGGCATCAGCTCCCAGAGAGTGTGGGCTTGAGTCTCTGCCACCCTTGTGGAGCACAGTGTGGACGGAGTACTGGCAGAGCACTTCCTGCTGATCGGGATGGGGAGGATGCAGCGATCGGGGGCAGGGGTGCGACCAGAGAGAGGCAGGGGTCCCCTTCTCTGTGGCTGAGCAGTGATGCCTGCCGGGCGGAGGGCAGATGTGGGCATTGTACCCGAGACGGCCCTGGTCAGTGCTCTCTGTCCTCTAGCTATCTCCAGCCTCCTGGCGTCGGTGACTCTGGATCTCAGCCAGTATGCGCTGGACATTGTGAAAGGCCTGGCTAGTGAGTATCCTGACCCGCTCCCCGCCTCGCAAAGGGCTCTTGGGGTTTGGTCACGTTTTGTCCTGATGAGTGTAGAGAAGTGGGCGGGGCCGGGGCTTGGTTTGCGTAGCTTCTATCCCAAGATCACCTGCAATCAGACCAGGGTCTGGATTTGGGAGCCTGGTGGAGACGAAGTTGGGCGCAAGGGCCCTGCGTGTGGGTAGCCTCTGAACACACCTCTGCGTGTGTCTGTGTGTGCGTGCGGCGTGTGACTGCCCTGCCTGCAGGTCAGCTGAAGTCCAACAGCTCCCGCCTGATGGATGAGGCTGTGCTGGCGCTGCGCAACCTGGCCCGCCAGTGCAGCGACCCTTCGGCCATCGAGGCGCTGACCAGACACCTGTTCGCTATCCTTGGAGGTGAGCAGGTCTTCCTAGCTCAGGGTTCCGAGGTGCGTCCCCGGCCTTCCCTGGGAATGGGGTCGTGGAAGGGGCGTGGGGGATCACCAAAAGCTCGCGCCGGGCACTGAGGGAGGGGACCTCGGTGTCCTCCTTTTTGAAGTCTCTGTGGAGGGGCTGCAGCGATAGGACAGCAGGGAGGGCGTTTGCCTGGCGCACGACCGACCCCGGCATCCCATGTGGCCTCTCGAGCACCACCAGGGGTAATTCCTGAGCATCGCCAGGTGTGACCCAAAAAGCTGTGTAATAAATTCTTCTTTTTAAAGAATTAGTGTATGTGGAAACATTGTCTTTGGGAGATAGAAACATGGGTGATTTCTAAATGCTTTTCTTCATGTTTTCTCCTGACTCAGCTTTTCAGTAAGGACGTGACTACTTTTATAGCTGGGGGAAGAAGCACTTACGAATGTTAATTTAGACACTGCTTCACAGCAGAAAGACTACTTCTGAAAACTGTTTTGTTTGCCTTGGGGTTGCACCTGACAACACAGTGTTGGTGCAGCTTCTCCCGGCTCACTCTGCCTGGGGGTGGTTCTGGTGGTGCTGAGGGAGCATGTGGTATTGGGGATCGAACCTGGGGCTTCAGTGTGCAAAGACTGCCTCCCTGGCCCCAGAAACTCTGTATTTTGTTGTTGTTCTGTTATAGGCCAGACCTGGCACTGCTCAGGGCTTACTTCTGGTGGTGCACTCAGGGATCACTCGTGACAGAGCTCTGGGGCCCATATGGGCCAGGGATCGAGTCCGGGTCAGCCCCATGCAAGGCCAACACCTCACCCACTGTACGGTCGATCTGGCCCTGATGAATCGTGTTTTGCTGGCACACACATGTCTGTGTTGTTTGCCGCCTTGGGCAGTGCGGTGATGTGACTTTGGATCCTGCTGTCTCCTCTCAGGCTCAGAGGGAAAGCTGACGATCGTGGCCCAGAAGATGAGCGTCCTCTCAGGTATATGCTTCTCCACAGGTGGGGGGAGATGAGGTTTACTGGAACCATCGAGTCAGCGAGTTCTTTGGCTCTTTCGGTGGGGAGGAGTCCCTGGGGGGTCGCTCTTTGCGGTCCCAGGGATGGAACCCGGGCCCCCCACTGCAGAGCCTGGACTGTGACTCCTTGGCCAGTCTGGGCCCCCTGGCGTGGCTCCCAGGGTTTCTGTGGTTTCTGCGGGTTTCTGGGAAAGGCAGGTTGTTGGCTGGGGAGCTGCAGGGGGCTCAGGAACCGCAGCCGCAGAGGAGAGGGGCAGCTGCGGGGGACGCTGTGCCCTGATCCGACAAGGGCTGAGCCAGTGTCTGTGCCTTCCAGGGGTCGGGAGTGTCAGTCATCACGTGGTGTCTGGGCCATCCAGCCAGGCTCTGAATGGGACCGTGGCGGAGCTGTTCATCCCGTTCCTCCAGCAGGAAGGTAACTGGACGCTGTTGTGTCCTTGGCAGCCTGGGCCCGTCCTGGAGGCCGGTTTCCACAGCCTGTGCTGAGCCCCTTCTGAAGGCTCCCCTCCCCCTCAACCTCCCGCTCGTGCGTGTGTGTGTGTGTGTGTGTGTGTGTGTGTGTGCGCATGCCTAGTGGTGGTGTGGCGCGGTGGGAAGCAATTCACTGACAGTGCTTCTGCCTCTCACCCAGTTCACGAAGGCACCTTGGTGCACGCCGTCTCCGTTCTGGCTCTCTGGTGTAACCGCTTCACCACAGACGTGCCCAAGAAGCTCACGGAGTGGTTCAAGAAAGCCTTCAGCCTTAAGACCTCCACCTCTGCCGTCAGGCACGCCTACCTGCAGTGCATGCTGGCCTGCTTCCGAGGTGAGCCCCCCGCCCCATCACCGTGTCTTAGGGGCCTCATCACCACTTCAGGTTCTCCCTTCTGGCTCAGTTCTTTTTTTTTTTTGCTTTTTGGGTCACACCTGGCGATGCACAGGGGCTACTCCTGGCTCTGCGCTCAGGAATTACCCCCTGGCGGTGCTCAGGGGACCATATGGGATGCTGGGAATTGAACCCGGGTCGGCCACGTGCAAGGCAAACGCTCTCCCGCTGTGCTATTGCTCCAGCCCCCTGGCTCAGTTCTTGAGTGTAGGTTTCTCCTGAGCCTCTGGGCGCATGAGGTTGAGCCATCCTGAGGCGCCTTAGGGCTCAGTCGGAACCACTCAGACTGTCATCTCCTCCCATTGGGCCCCAAGGGACAGAGCCGCCTTCTACAGAACCCAGAACCAGAACCAGGCGGTGTTAGAAATCATGGAGAAAAGGTCCTGATGGGACAGATTCTATCTTGTTTGTTTTTTTTCCCCCCTTTTTTGTGGGGGGAACAATAGTTAGGGGTTCCTCCTGGCTCTGTACTCAGGAATCACTCCTGGCGGTGCTGAGGGGACCATATGGGATGCCGGGGATCAAATCCGGGTCAGCAGCCATGTGTAAGGCAAGTGGCCTGCTCTCTCCCCGGCAGATTCTGAAGGTCCGACTTCATATGGCCCTAAAATGAGACCTATTTTAAAATCCCCTGCTGTGCGCACTGCAGTGCTGCCAGCTGATGGCATGTGGCCTTTGGCAGGCAGCCACCTCCTTCTTGGGCCGAGCCGGGGAGTTCCAGAGGCCTGGAGGCACTCAGTCCCCAAGGGGAGCCTTTCTTGTTGATATCTGCCCCTGAGTAGATATTTTAAAAAAGTGGCTCAAACTTAACTGTGTTTAAAGAAACATCTAGGAGATTCCAGACCTGCCTCTAGAGCGAAGGCGTCTTTCTGTACAGTGCCTGTACTCACTCAAGTTTGCATTTTTGCTGCAATCAGATGGCTTTTAGATGGCTGAGTTCTTAAGATAGCAGACATGATTGAGACTAGCTCTTCAGTTTGAGCTATTTCTGCTTAATGCTTTTTAAAGTAAACACTAGAGAGAGACCGAAGAATGGTACAGAGGTAAGGCGCTTGCCTTGCATGTGGCCAATATGATGCAGTGTCCAGCACTTCTGGGTGGGACCCCAAAATCAAAATAGACACAGGATAAAATAACGCTTTCAAATGAACTTCTTGGCTAAAAAGCTATTACATAATCTAAAAGAAATACTGATAGCATTGTGATTTGTCTAACATCAGTTTAGTACTTAAGAAATCCTACGTTTTGGGCTGGAGCAGTAGTATAGTGCCTTTCATGCATCTGATCCTGGTCAATCCCTGGCACCCCATTGGGTCCCCTGAGCACTTCCAGGAGTAAGCCCCGAGCACCACTGCGTGTGGCCCCAAAAAGAAAACAAATGAAAAAGAAAACGTGCCTTTAGGGCTAGAGAGATTGATTGTAGAAGGGTTCTGGCACTTGCTTTTCATGCCGCTGACTCCAGTTCAATCCCCAGCATAACATATAGTCTTGACTTGACCCCAGAGAAATCATGAAATCAGGATTTGGCTATAATTCTACCAGGTTTGTGTTTAGGGCCATGTCTGGTGGCACTCGGTCGATTTCTGGCTCAGTGCTCGCGCCTGGTGGTTCTCGGGAACGGTGCATAGCCATGAATCAAATCCAGACTTTCTGCAGAAGCAAAGCGGTGTGTCAACCTCTTAGGCTTTCTCTCAAGGGCCTCCCCCTTTTTTCCAAGTGAATCAATTCATAGGTGAACAGATGGGTTCTGATTTTGGAATTTTGGTTCTAAAGGCCATCTGGTATGGAGGAAGAGCTTCACCTGGCAATTGGTGGGTCGATTTTAGCTTGGCCCTGACTCCCTTCCCCGGCTGATAGCTGGCCTTGGGCAACGCACCAGACCTTTCTCCGTGTATTTTCTTACTGATCCGATGAATAGCCGCACTCAGGTTAGTGAGGATCCTTCTAGTTCTAGCTGTAGTAAAGTCCCAGATTCTGGTTTCGCTTCTCTAAGGTCTTATAGTAAGTAACGGGTCTGACTGACCGGGGCGACTTGCTCCTCCGTCACACAAGTAATCTTGTCAGCCCTGGAGATCCGGATGCTTTGTGAGGTGCTGCTCTTCTCTCCACAGGTGACACACTCTTGCAGGCCCTGGACTTACTGCCCTTGCTCATTCAGACCGTGGAGAAGGCAGCTGCTCAGAGCACTCAGGTGCCCGTCGTCACAGAGGGGGTCGCGGCAGCCCTGCTGCTCTCCAAGCTTTCTGTGGCTGACTCCCAAGCCGGTAAGGACCCGGAACCGCCCACGAGGCCACGGACCAGGACCTGCTGGAGTGTCTTTGGGCAGGGGCTTCGGGATTTCACAGGGTTAGCTTGCTCTTGCTCGCTGCGGGGCTGCACCTGGGCTGTGACCCGCAGGAATCAACCACCTTCCACTGCAGTGGGGACGCAGCCAGGACCTGTGTCCTCCCCTGGTCCTCATGCTGCTGCAGGGGGTTAAAATCCATCAGCTCCGAAAGGGGAAGATGTGAAAAGCTTCCCCTCAGCTGGCCTGCCATCCAGCCATTGTGTTCCCTTCTCTGGACAGTATTAGCGGCAGTTTCCTTTTTGGGTCACACCCGGCAATGCACAGGGACTGCTCTTGGGCTCATGCACTCAGGAATTACTCCTGGCAGTGCTCGGGGGACCCTATGGGATGCTGGGAATCGAAACCGATTCCAAACGCCCTGCCCGCTGTGCTATCGCTCCAGCTCAGCAGCAGTTCCCTGTCTTGAGTGCATCGGTACGTTGTAGACTGAGCACTGTGTGCAGTGTCTTGTCCTGTGGTGGGTGTGACGAGGAAACACTTGGGAAAGACTCCAGATCCCTTTAACAAAAGACTTCCTGGTTCCTACTGGCTACATAGTATTCCGTGTTGGCCTTAGCCCACCTCCTTCTCTGCTGTGTGGACATCAAAGATGTGAGCTCTTTCTTGTCTTCCTGTGTGCCAACTGTTTCTATGCCAAAGCACTGGGCTGCCTCGGGGTGCAGAGGTGTTTGCCTCAACAGATTTCACCCAGCTTTCAGAGGGAGAAAGGAGATGCAGGAATAGCTCGTTTTAGGCAGCTGTTGGTCGGTGCAGTTCCGAAGGAGGGGTTTGTTTTCAGTTACAGGGCTGGGTGTCAGGAAAGACTGAAGGAGGGGGTGTTTGAACCAGCGCCCTGCAGGCTGGGAAGGATTTTGTAGCAGGTGTGAGTTCCACCTCACTGCAGAGAGGAAAGCTTGGGGGGTAGGGATGAGCTGGATGCCTGGAGCAGGGGGAGACCCAGAAGGGAGGCAGCTCCTGGAGGCAGCCGAGAGTCCCCGAAGGTGTGGATGAGGGCACTGGAAGGACCCTGTCTGCCCGCGGCCTCCGGCTGGAGGGTGCAGCTGTTAGAGGCCGCTTGTCTCTTGCAGAGGCCAAACTGAGCAATTTCTGGCAGCTGGTTGTGGATGAGAAAAAGCAGATTTTCACTTCTGAGAAATTCCTGCTCCTGGCTTCCGAGGACGGTGAGTCGCAGCCCCCTCAGTTCTCTTGAGTCGGGCAGGGTCTGTGCAGGGTGCAGGCTAGAGACGCGTGCTGTGGGAGTGGAGGCGTTGTTCTGGAGGCGGGGGCGGGGGGGGGGCGGGAGGGAGGGGGAGAGTCTCTCAAGAGCTGCTGTGATGGTAGAGGTAATTATAGCTGATTGGTAATTGCCGCCTGGGTAGTAAGAGGCAGCTGAGCCGCTGGTGGGCGTGGCCGACTCCACTCCCCCTCTGGGAGCTGCTGAACCACTGCTCTAGCCTTGCAGCCGCACAGCGGATGTTACTTTAAATGTGGATTTAGGATTCTGGGTTCCCGTTGGGTTGTCTGCTGCTAATTGGTGATTTAAAGTCTCTCGACTCCGATCACAGCATCTTCCTAATGAGCTACAACTGCTTGTCACTGCCTGGTGTTTTTTTTTAATTGTTGTTTTTGTACAGGAAATATAATTATCATCATTAAAAAATGTCTGAGGGTCTTCACTGAAAATTGTACCTCTGATTTGACCTTTGGCCACTGTTTTCTGAGTATGGATTATCAAGTTCTTTTTGTTGTTGTTGTTGATTTTGGGCCACCCAGTGGTGCTCAGAACTTATTCCTGACTCTGTGCTCAGGTATCACTCTTGGCAGGGTTTGGGGACATTCTGGGGTGCCAGGGATTGAACCCGGGTCTCCTGTGCCCAAGGCAGGCACCTTAACCACAGTACTATCGCTCCAGCTCCTGGATAACCCACCTTATCAACTTTGTTTAGCTTTGATATTTTCCTTTCATACCATTCTGTGCCTTTACCTAGTTCTCCCTTTTCATACAGTCGGCAGCATGCCTGTTCTCTGTCCTATGCTTTATAGATTTGGAAATCCTTTGTATCAGTGTATACCAAGTGTTTAATATTAATCTTTTTTAAGCACTGTAGCACTGTCCTCCCGTTGTTCATCAATTTGCTTGAGCGGGCCCAGTAACGTCTCCATTGTGAGGCTTGTGTTTGGCGTATTGAATGCGTCATGGGTAGCTTGCCAGGCTTTGCTGTGCGGGTAAGATACTCTTGGTAGCTTGCCGGGCTCTCCGAGAGGGGCGGAAGAATCGAACCTGAGTTGGCCGGGCCGGCTGCGCGCAAGGCAGATGCCTTACCGCTGTGCTATCGCTCCAATCTCTTTTAAAATAAACTTAAATAACTTATTTGTGCGCCTTCCCAACAATGCTCTGGGACCTAAGGGCCACCTGCAGTGGCACTTGGGCCTCCTCGTCTGGTGGGTGGGCCTGGCCACACTGTGCTGCTTGAGTCCAGAGGTGCTGGAGGTCGTCTGGGCCACACACGAGTTGCTGTGGTGTTCGGGTCGGGGAGTGTGGACACACGGGGCCAGGAATGGCCTTTAGGGCCTTGGGCATGTCGGGCAGCTCCCCTGCCCTATGGCCTCTCTCCTGAGCCCCTGAGTCTTTTTAGAGTCGCACAGTCATTCTTTTTCCCTTATGCCAGGGATGGTACCTGGGCCTCGTCCATATAAAACATCTTTTGTCACTGAGCTACCTCTTTGGCCCCATAGTATTCATCGTTCCAAAAGAAACGTTCTTTCCCTTATTCCAAACTCCACGTGTGCCTCATGAAGGCTGTTCACATGAGCTGCCACTTCACACCGAGTGGCTGTCCCCTCCACTTGAGCGTTTCAGTTCCATCCTCTTCTCCCCGGCCGTGTGCTCTGTGTGAAAAGGCCTCTGCCGTTCCTCCCCTAGCCCTGTGCACGGTGCTGCAGCTGACAGAGAGGCTTTTCCTTGACCACCAGCAGAGACTCACGGGCAGCAGAGTTCAGTACGTGAGCCTTCCTTCCCCACGCCCCTGGGCTAGGCGGGGGGCATCCCTGGCAGGAGTGGGGTCGTGTGGGAGGGGGGCCCTGCCCCGGCCCTCCTGAACCACAGCCCGTCCCTGCGCTCACAGGCAGTATCACCGGGCTCTGGTGGCCGTGCTCCTGAGTCGTCCCTGGCACGTGCGCAGGCAGGCACAGCAGACCACTCGGAAGCTGCTGTCCTCCTTGGGGGGCTTCAAGCTGGCGCATGGACTCCTGGAGGAGCTGAAGACTGTTCTCAGTTCCCACAAGGTGAGGGTCCTTCCTAACCCTTGGCCCGCCCGGCTGCTGCTGGCCCACTTCTGGGCTCTTCTCACGCACTCAGACTGTGAGCCCAGAGTGCCCTGCTGTGCCCGGCCACCAGTGTGTGGAGGGCCACATGCAGTGTCAGGGTTCGAGCCAAGATTGTGGCTACGGCTGTGTGCTAGGCAAGCACCTCAGCCTTTGTACTCTGGCGAGCCCCAGCCCCTGGTGTGGTCAGGGGCCACGAGTTGCTGGGGATTGATCCCATGCTCCTGCATGCAGAGTTCTCCTCCCTTGCCCCCTACTACCACCCTTTGCATAGGATTTCTCTTCTGACCCCCTTCATCTTTTTTGGGGGTGGGGGCAGCAGCACACCTGGCGGTGCTCAGGGCTTGCTCATTGCTCCGTGCCCAGGGATCATCGTGGCGGGGCCGGAGGGGAACCGTGTAGTGCTGGGGTCAGTTTTATGCCTTTAGCAATACAGCCTGAGCTTTCTACCCTTGAGGAATGGGCATAATGCCTCGAATACCCTCGGACCTCCCCCTTAGTCTGATTTGCTTTAGTGATTCAGCCCAAAGAAGACCATCACCACTCCCAACCTCCCTGGTTACCTCCTTAGCAATGGACTTTTACCTAGGAAGAAGAAGCCTCCCAAGGGGGCAGGTTGGAGAAACCCAATGAAAGCCACCTTGAACAAAGGAGGGGCGCACAAATGCTGCCCGAGCCCATGTGAAAGCTCCTCATGTCCTCGAATGCGTGTCTGTCCGTTCCCTGCTTTGCTTTTTCAGTGTCTTTAAATGAAAGCTTGACACCCTTATTTCAGCGTCAGCCTTCCAGGAGCTGCAATGACTTGCTCCAGGTCTGGCAGCCAGTGGGTGGGTCAGACCCCAAAGGGGTCTGACTCCTGTTCCAGTGCTCTTCGAGCGCATCACTGCTTCCCTCCTTCCCGCTGGGGGGCTCAGGCCCACTGTCAGACTCTGCCCTCCACTGCGTCTCCTGGACCAGCTTCTGGGGCCACCTTCCCACAGCCCCAGAGTCACGGATATCTGCTCTTTCTGGCTCCTCTCACCCTCTCCCGCCAGTGCGGACAGTGGCCTCGGTGTCCGTTCTCGCAGGGAGCCCAGAGAACGGCTGGACGGGGCAGCTGGGCCCGCGTGCCGGCTCGTCACCTGTGGCCTCTGTGCAGGTGCTGCCCTTGGATGCTCTGGTGGCCGACGCTGGGGAGGTGAGCGAGGCAGGCAAGGCCCACGTGCCACCCCGGGTGCTGCAGGAGGCCCTGTGCATTATCTCCGGGGTGCCGGGGCTGGCAGGGGACGCCAGCAGCACGGAGCAGCTGGCCCAGGAGCTGCTCCTCCTCTCCCACCACCCATCCTTAGGTGCGTTTCGGGGGCTCTGGGCTCTGCCGGCAGGGGGCAGCCCTGGCTGGAGCCTGCGCTGACCCTCCTCCCCACCGTCCCACAGTGGCACTGCAGTCTGGGCTCTGGCCGGCACTGCTCAGCAGGATGAAGATCGATACCGAGGCCTTCATCACCAGGCACCTGGACCAGATCATCCCCCGCATCACCACACAGAGTCCCCTGAACCAGGTGATCGCACCGGGCCTGCCTCTGGCCTGGCTCTCCAGGGGAGTGGGAAGTTCAGCGCGACAGGTGACGGTGGGCTGGAGCGTACCCTTGGGAGGCCCGGCACGGGACATGCAAACTGAATTGAGCACGGGAGGGAGCTTGGGGCGGCCAGGTCCCCGGGTTGGCCCTCCTCTGCGTGCTGCGGCCACGGGGACCCTGTCCAGGGCCCCACTGACTGTCCGTGTTTGTCTGGCAGTCTTCTATGAACGCCATGGGCTCCCTTTCCATCCTGTCCCCAGACCGGGTCCTCCCTCAGCTCATCAGCACCGTCACCGCCTCCGTGCAGAACCCTGCACTGTGCCAGGTGACTCGCGAGGAGTTTGCCATCATGCAGACCCCTGCCGGGGAGTTGTACGACAAGTCCATCATCCAGAGGTGAGAGCCCTGCAGGCTCCGTGGCCTCAGGTGCGTGCCTGGAAGCCGCGTGCCCTTTGCAGGGTGCTTGTGAAGAGCCAAGGAAATGGCTGAGGCATCCATCGTGCCAGTGCTCTCTCTTCCAGGCACCTGCGAGGCCCTGGCTGGGGGCAGGGAGGCTCTAGCATGTTCCCCGGGCGGACCGTGTACAGGCCAGCTGAGGGTTGGTGCCCAGCGGGGCACTGAAGGGCTGATCACGTGCTCTGGTGTTGCAGTGCCCAGCAGGACAGTATCAAGAAGGCCAACATGAAGCGGGAGAACAAAGCGTACTCCTTCAAGGAGCAGATCATCGAGCTGGAGCTCAAGGAGGTGCGTCCGGGCGGTGTCACGCAGAGGTGGCTGCCGGCTGGCCACTATGTGTGCCGCACCTGAGGCCAGGCCCGGCCGTCTGGTTCCCTCGGCTCTCCTGCCCTTTCTCCAGAGCGTCCTGCTCCCCCACTCCAAGGGAGCACGTGGGTCCAGCAGCGCTTAGCCACCTCCTCCGCACCGCCCCCCAGCTTATCCGCGCTCGAGGCCCTTGCTGTGTCTGCCGTTGCTCTTCCCTGCAGTCTTGAAAGGCGCCGCCCTCCAGCTCCGCAGCGGCCCTCTTGACCCGTCGTAGTGCTTGTCAAGCCCCACACCGTGTTTACCCGTCTGCTCTATACCCGAGAAGGCGGGAGCTTGATCTTTCTTTTGCGGCGGTGGGGGCTGTACCCGGCGATCCTCCAGGGCTGCTCCTGTCTACATTCCGGGATCACTTCCTGGTGCTGTTCACTGGGCCACAGGGGCCGCTGGGCATGGAACCTGGGTTGGCCATTGCAAGGCAAAGCGCCTTGCCCACTGTACTGTTCCTTTGTCCTCAAGGAACTTGATCTTTTGGTTTTCCTCTGTGGTGCTTGGGGTCATGCCCCGCGGTCCTTGTGGCACCATGCAGTGTGGTACTGGGGACAAAATTCGGATTTCTGCTTGCAGAGCACGTGCTCTAGTTCTTTGCATCACCTCCCCAGCCCCACGGAGAGACTTTTTTTGCGGGGGGTCTAACACCTCAGGACCCTCGTTGCCTTTGTCAGAGATAATCCAGTGAGAAATCTCGTTTCTCCTCTCGTTTTCGTCTGGAAGTGCCAGGTGGCTGCAGGCTGTGGGTGGCAGCGGGTCACCGGGCTTGGGGCCCGTCTTCCACCCGCCTGGTGCTGGTGCGGTGCCTGTGGCTGATCTGAGCTCACCATCCTCTGGGAGGGAGGACGGGCGAGAGCGTTGGGAGACCAAATGGCTCTGCCCGTCGCCCTCAGGAGATCAAGAAGAAGAAGGGCATCAAGGAGGAGGTGCAGCTGACGAGCAAGCAGAAGGAGATGCTGCAGGCCCAGCTGGACAAGGAGGCGCAGATCCGGAGGCGGCTGCAGGAGGTGGGCGGAGCGGGGCGGCCACACCTGCTCCCCGGGGGCCCGTAGACCCGGCCCTGACCCTCCGCTCTGCTTGCAGCTGGACGGGGAGCTGGAGGCAGCACTCGGACTGCTGGACACCGTCCTGGCCAAGAACCCGTCCGGCCTGACCCAGTATATCCCTGTCCTGGTCGACTCTTTCCTGCCCTTGCTGAAGTCTCCCCTGGCTGCTCCCCGGATCAGGAACCCTTTCCTGTCCTTGGCTGCCTGTGTCATGCCCCCTCGGCTCAAGGCTTTGGGTTGGTCTTTATTTGCCTGCTGTGGGTACGGCCCAGGGTGGGCCAGGAGGTGGTCAGGGTGCTGCACCCGGGGTCTGGGCAGCCGACTCATGTGTCTGTGTGTAGAAGCCTGGGATCCCTCGGCCTTGGAGGGCCGCCTTCCTCCCTGAGGCCCTTGCCGTGCCCCCGAGGGCCAGCCACGAGCTAGTCCCGGCGAGCTTTCTGGCAGGTCTTGAGACTGAGGAAACCTGGATGGGTCTGGAAATGGTTCCAGGCCGTCCCGGTGCAGTGAGGATGCGCTGGCCATCGGTGCACTTGGCCAGTGAGGACTTTGCCTTCCTGTGGGTGGGGGAGAAACAGGTCAGGTAGAGTTGACTGGGGCTTGGAGAGACTTTGCCTTTTGCATTGTTGAGCAGCTCTAAGCAAGCATTCTGGTCTAAAGGCATGTTCCCAGGGGTAGGGGCAGAATTGAGCGTATGTTCTAGAACCTGCCGGAAGTGTGACCTGGCCACTGGCTCATTGCACGGAAGGTGGGAGCTCCCAAGAGAGCTTCTCCTAGGGTGGGTGCACAGCCCTCCCCAAGGAGGCCCCCACCTTCTCCCTGGGGCACTTGTACTTTCTACCCAGAGATGTGCTCAGTGAGGTGGAGGACTTGGAGGCCGGCACCCAGAGTGGGTTTCCCTGAGGCCAGAGGCCTCTGCCCCGGTGCCTGCTGTGGGCTGGATTCTTCGTCTCAGTGGATTGTTCCCCCGGTTCCCCTCTCTCGGACACAGGCGTTTTGGTGAGCCACGTGACTCTGCGTCTGCTGAAGCCAGAGTGTGCCCTGGACAAGTCCTGGTGCCAGGAAGAGCTGTCAGTGGCGGTGCGGAGGGCAGTGACCCTGCTGCACAGCCACACCATCCCCTGCAGGGCAGGCAAGAGCGACCCAGGTAAGGGCCGAGCGCCGGTTTCTCCCTGGCCTGCTCTCCTGGGAAATAGACTCGCCCGCAAGAACGGTTTCTGAGTTGGGTCAGGTTGGGCTGGAGCGATAGCACAGCGGGAAGGGCGTTTATCTTTCATGCGGTTGACCCGGGTTCGATTCCCACCATCCCATATGGTCCCCCAAGCACCACCAGGAGTAATTCCTGAGTGCAGAGCCAGGAGTAACCCCTGAGCATTGCCAGGTGACCCAAAAGAAAAAAAGTATTCTGGGAATCCCGGGAACCGCCAATGAAGGTTTAGACCCAGGAACCTTTTTGTGGTTAGTTCTGGTGGTTTGGGGGCCACAAATAGCTCAGGGCCTGTTTCTGGCTCTGTGTTCAGGAGTGACCCCTCGAGGCATGCTGGGGGCCTGTGAGGCTCAGCCACAGGCAAGGCGAGCACCCTGACCACGGTCTGGTCGGCCCTGCGCACTCTGGAGCTGCCGCCGCAGGGAGCAGCTGCATCTGAGGTCCAGAAAGGCCTTGGGCCTTGGCTCCTGCCTGGAGGCTCACGTCTGTCTCGTGTTCTCGCAGATGCGGCTCCCCTGTCGGCACCAGCCTTCTCCTTGGTCTTCCCGTTTCTGAAGATGGTACTGACCGAGATGCCCCACCACAGCGAGGAGGAGGAGGAGCGCATGGCCCAGATCCTGCAGATCCTCACTGTCCACGCCCAGCTCAGGGCCGCCCCCAGCAGCGTGCCTGGCCGAGTGGACGAGGTGCATAGGGCGTCCCGCACTCCCTGGGGCCCTGACAGTTCTGACGGGCGTGGGGCAGTGGCCGTGGGCGAAGAGAGCCCAGATGCTGCCGGCCGGGTGCTGACAAGACCCCGCGAAGCATCCTGTGTCTGGAGGGCCTGGCCAGAGAAGGCCACGGATTGGCTTTTCTTGGCTTTTGTTTTGTCTTTGGGCCACACTGGTCAATGCTCAGACTGGCAGCATAGGGGGGAGGGGGGTGGAGGCGGGATCAGGATCAGAGTGTTCAGGCCAGGCTGTCGACAGTGGGCTCGCATTCCCTGCTGCTGAGAACCTCCTGCTCTCCCCTCCCAGAATGGCCCTGAGCTGCTGCCGCGCGTGGCCATGCTGCGCCTCCTGGCCTGGGTGATTGGCACCAGCTCGCCGCGCCTGCAGGTGAGCTGCCTTCCAGGGGCTGTCACTGACCCCCCCCCCCCCGCCCCTGTTCCTTGACCCTGACCGCAGGCCCCAGCGTGGGACTGGGGGCCTCGTTCTCTCCGTGCCCTTGGGCAGGAGCACCAGCGTGGGTGCTCTTGGCTCTCGGCTCTGCAGGGCCCTTTCGCTCGTCTGTCACATTCAGGGACAGACGCCACGTAGGTCTGCCCCCCTCCGTCCCCGTCCCCACCCCCCACCTGCCCCTGGGGTCTCCACCTTAGTGGGTCTGGGGGCCCTGCGCCCCAAGCCCTGTCCGGCCTGACTTGGAAGGCCCTGGCCAAGCCGAGCTCAGAGGAGCCGTGTCCTTGGCAGGTCCTGGCCTCCGACACGCTGACCACCCTGTGTGCCAGCAGCAGCGGCAAGGACGGCTGTGCCTTCGCGGAGCAGGAGGAAGTGGACGTGCTGCTCGGTGCCTTGCAGTCCCCGTGTGCCAGCGTGCGGGATACTGCACTCCGGGTACGTGCCCGCTCCCTGTAGGCTCGCCACGGTGGCCCTGCTGCTCCGCTTGTAGGGGACTCAGATGCCCCTTCCATCGGGGAGGAGACGCCCCCGTGCCCGGGTGTGTCCCGGAGACCAGGAGCAGAGGCACTGCAGCAGCAGATGTGTTGTGAGGCCCAGCTCTGCTCAGCACTCTTCCGTCTGGCCGTGTCACCTCTCTCGAATGAACTGTGGGTCTTGGCACATTCAGAGACAGACGCCACGTAGGGCTGCCCCCTCCGCCCCCGTGCCCACCCCCCACCCTTTTGCCTTCACTTGGTGCGGTTGGAGTGTCCTTTAGAGAGGTTTGCTCTTCACGCACACGCTCTCCCTGGAACGTGCCTTGTGCTTGCCTCTCTGTTTCTTTGCTTGCTTTTTCCACTCTGGAGGAGCCTCTGTTCTCTCCTGAACGTGTATTCTTTCTCACTCTCCCCGTGCCTTTCTACGTGAGTTCCATCCTTAGAAACTACTTTGCTTCACAACAGAACACAAAAGGATCTCTTCAGGGGGCAAGCCAGTCGCTCCCAAGTGCCTGTCTGCAGTCTCCTGCTCTTGGTGGTGGAAAACTTCCCCAAGTTTTCTTGGGGGATCTCAGAGAAGAAGCCAGTAAAGGGGACTGTCCTTTGTGTGAAGTTCCACCTGTGTCCCTCAGAGCTTAGGGTTATTTGGTGGTGGGATGGATCCTAAGCAGAGCTTGGACTGTAGGGGCCGCTCCTGGCCGTTCTCGGCCAGCCGGGGTGGTTCCGTATCAGGGCCTGGGGATGCAGTGCCGCTCAGGTCCCGCTGTACCCAGGCCTTGGGGTATGTACTTGGAGTACTTGGGGGTCTTTATGGAGGGGGCCAGTAATACCAGGAATCAAGCCAAGTTTGGGCGTGCATAAGGCATCGCACCTTAACCCCTGTACCTTAGTCTCCCTGGCCTGAGGCGGTGCGGAGGGCAGTGACCCTGCTGCACAGCCACACCATCCCCTGAGGGCGGGCAAGAGCGCCCAGGTAAGGGCCGAGCGCCGGTTTCTCCCTGCCCGGCTCTCCTGGGAAATAGACTCCCTGCATGAACGGTTTCTGAGTTGGGTCAAGTGTTCTGGGAGTCGGGCTGGAGTGACAGGACAGCGGGTAGGGTGTTTACCTTACACGCGGTCGACCCGGGATCCCATATGGTCAGGATTGTGTTTTTCCTTTTTTTCTTGAGCTACACTTGGTAATGCTCAGCGCTGGCTCCAGCCTCTCTGCTCAGGAATCATTCCGGGTGGTGTTTGGGAGACCTTATGGGGTGCTGGGGAGTGAATTTAGGTCAGGCGTGAGCAAGGCACACGTGCCCTGCCCGCTGTACTCTCTGGCTGGCCCCGAGGTCAGGTTTTAATTTTACATGAAACACTTCCTGCCACTACGTACCGTTCTTTCACAGAGGAGACTGAGAAGCTAGTGGATGCACAGCGCTCCCAAGGCCAGCGCTGGCCAGGGGGACTCGATGAGAAGGGATAGCTAGGTTCCACACCTGTGCTGTCCAGTGCGATTGCTCTTGGCCGCTGCAGCTACCGAACAGCTGAAATGTGACGGGCTGTAGGCGATCGAGTTTATTTTCCCCTTGAGTGCTGAGGCCCTCCCGTGCACCCCACAAGTCCAGAGGAGGCCGGAGGCTGGCTGGAGGCCCCCAGGGAAGCCTGAGCCTCAAGCCCCGATCCCACCCCTCCCAGGGGCTGATGGAACTCCACATGGTATTGCCAGTGCCTGATACGGATGAGAAGAACGGCCTGAACCTTCTGCGGCGGCTCTGGGTGGTCAGGTTCGACAAGGAGGAGGAGATCCAGAAGCTGGCCGAGAGGTGGGTTCTTGTGCCTGGTTCCTCCTGCCTTGGGACGGGGAGTCAGCACGAGCGGGGCTGGGTGGTGGCGGTGGTCCTGACTGGCGGCCCTTGCCCCCCGTCTGCCGCAGGCTCTGGTCCACCATGGGCCTCAGTCTGCAGCCTGACCTCTGCTCGCTGCTGATCGACGACGTCATTTATCACGAGGCGGCCGTGAGGCAGGCCGGGGCCGAGGCCCTCTCACAGGCCGTGGCCCGTTACCAGCGGCAGGCCGCCGAGGTCATGGGCAGACTCATGGAGATCTACCAGGAGAAGCTCTACGTGAGTCCCTTCCCAGCCCCACTGCCCCACTCAGGCGCCCGCCCGCCTGCCTGGGTTCCCCGGGGAGGGCCCCGGGCGGCACTGACCCGGCCTGTCTGTTGCAGCGTCCGCCGCCGGTGCTGGATGCTCTGGGACGAGTCATCTCGGAATCGCCTCCGGATCAGTGGGAAGCCAGGTAGGACAGCAGCATGGGCTGGGGGGAGGGCACGGCTCCCGTCGGAGCCCAAGTGCCGCCCGCACGGGTGGCCTGTGCCGATGGGCAGGGGTGTCCTTGGCTCTATCCTGTGCTGCCCCAGAGGTCTTGGGACTAGGGGCTTCTTACTGTAGTCAGGTGGGATCACAGTGCTCAGCCTTCGGTGGGGGTGTCCGCCTCCCAGCGCCTCTCCCATCTGACAGGGGTTAAACTCAGGCATTTGACCGGAGGGCAGCTCCACCTATGCAGACTGTTCAGCGATCACCCTGCTGTTGCCCCGGGATGCTGTTTGCTATTGGCCCTCTCCCATAGACAGGTGGGAGAGAACTGGCTCACAGAGGGGCCCCCGCTGCCCCTGGCCCCCTGACATGCCCCCACTTCTTTTTCAGGTGCGGCTTGGCTCTGGCCTTGAACAAGCTCTCCCAGTGTTTGGACAGTTCTCAAGTGAAGCCCCTCTTTCAGTTTTTTGTCCCTGATGCCCTCAATGATCGAAACCCAGACGTCCGGAAATGCATGTTAGATGCAGCTCTTGCAACACTTAACATCCATGGAAAGGTAAGAGCCGTCTCTGGAGAGGGGTGTAGGCCGGGCGGAGAGGACTGGGCTATGGTAGCGGGAGGCAAGGAGGATGAGGGAGGGCGAGGTGCAGGGAGGGTGAGTGCCAGGAACCCTGCACGGCCTCAGCCCCCCCCCCCCCCCGGAAAATTCCATTTGTAGTCCTCTTGATCCATTTGCAGTCCTCTTGAGCCAGGAGGCTGTAAAGTTCTCGTAAGTCTGCTGCGTTCCAGCCAGGAAACTGGGAAACCCTTTGGCGTTCGTTGCTGGCTGGCCCAACAGGATGTCGGACGCAGAGCCAGATCTGGGGCTGTTCTTGGGCAGAGACTCCCCGGACACGGCCAGTGGGCTGACGGGGGTGCTCTGGGGCACGTGGCTTTGCAGGAGAACGTGAACTCGCTGCTGCCGGTGTTTGAGGAGTTCCTGAAGAATGCACCCAACGACGCCAGCTACGATGCCGTGCGGCAGAGCGTGGTGGTCCTGATGGGCTCTCTGGCCAAGCACTTGGACAAGAGTGACCCCAAAGTGAAGCCTATCGTCGCCAAGCTCATTGCAGCCCTCTCCACCCCCTCCCAGCAGGTACCTGCCGCCTGGTGTCAGTCCCCTCCAGGGTAGTGGCAGCTGATTCGCACTGGCTGGAGGCTGTCAGGGCAGAGCTGGAGCTCTGAAGTTGTCCTCTCTGGGCGGCCTGGTGTATGCGCAGGGGTCTCTGGGGAGGAAGTCACTTTGCTTCAGTGGGTGCCTGGAGTTTCCTTTATTTCCTCCGAATGCTCTTTGCAGTGGGGTGCGGGTTGACGCCCTCCCTGGGAGACTTGCAGGTCCAGGCGATTCTCGGCAGACTGGCTGTGAGGGCCCTGAGGGGCAGGGGGTGGGTGCTGGGGGCCTCCCGGGCTGTACCGAAAGATGCTTGCAGGTCCGTGTGGGGCCAGGAATCGAGCCCTGGTCAGGTGCATGCTAGGCGTGGCCCCTGACTGGAGCTGTCTCTGGCCCCTGCTTGTCTTCTCCTGTGCTGAGCGTCAGCTGGGAGGGAAGGAGCGACACTCCCTCCCTGTCGGGTCCCTCTGAGGACCCTGCGTGTCCACTGGCACCTTTCCCCGTAGCTTGTAAGCCTGTATGCAGGGGTGTGTTTTGCTGGGGAATGGGGTCTTGAGTATTACTCGAAGCATGGGGGTGGGGACACTCAGAGATGGTTGACCAGTGAGACTGGGCAGTTGAATGTTTGGGCCCTGGATGCAGCATTCCTCAGGCTGCTCGGTGCTGGGGGGCCTCCCAGGCCAGGCCTGGTAGTACCTGGGGGTCTCCAGGACTGCACTGGCAGTGCCGGATGGTGCCAGAAATGTAGCCAGGGTCCCGCACCTGCAGAGCAAGCGCTGTCTCTTAGTCTCTCGTCGTTGTCTCTTTCTGATCAGCACGTGTGCTTATTTCTCTGAACCGCATTTTGCACCCCTATAGAATATCCTCGTCAAATACGGTTGACAGAGTTGTGGCCAAGTGAAGTGGGCAGGAAGCCCAGTCTGCCAGGGTCCTGACTGGGTGTGATGCTTTGCTGCTCTCAGCTGGGCCTCTGTGCTGTGGCCAGGCCTGGGCACCACTCGTTCTGGCTGGCCGGCGGGTTTCCCCACGACTGACGAGGTGGACACAGAGAGATGTGGGTCACTGTATGGAGACTCGGCAGATGCGTCTTTCTGGGTCTTTCTCTGGGAGTGGGCTTAATCTCCTGGAGTTTCTCCTGCCTTACTAGGCCAAAGCTCTGTGTTCTGCTACTCTCATGACCCAGATGCAGTGGGTGCGCCCAGAGCCGAGGAAGCCCAACCTCGGAGGTTGGGTGACAGCAGTGGCAGGGAGGACCGAGGCCCGCCAGAGGGGAGGCGCTGGGCAGGACTGAGCGAGCTTGCTGAGCCTTTGCCCCCACAGGTGCAGGAGTCCGTGGCCAGCTGCCTGCCGCCGCTGGTGCCGGCCATCAAGGAGGACGCGGGCGGGATGATCCAGAGACTGATGCAGCAGCTGCTGGAGTCAGACAAGTACGCCGAGCGCAAGGGGGCCGCCTACGGACTGGCGGGCCTGGTGAAGGGCCTGGGCATCCTCTCACTGAAGCAGCAGGAGATGATGGCAGCGCTGACTGACGCCATCCAGGACAAGAAGAACTTCCGGCGGCGAGAGGGTGAGCCCCTCAGCGCAGAGAATCCGCAGATTCCGTCCCCACTGTGGCCCGAGGCTGGGATCTAGGGCCTGGCCTTCTCCAGCCAGCACAGTGCCCGTGCATGTGTGCGTGTGTGTGTCTGTGTGTATGTGTATGTGTTTGAGTATATATGTGTGTTACTATGTGTATGTATCTGTGTGTATGTGTCTGTGTCTGAGTGTGCGTGTGTGTCTGTGTCTGTCCGTGTGCCTGTATCTATGTATGTGCGTATGTGTATGTATCTGGATGTGTCTGTATCTGTGTGCCTGTGTGTATGTGTATGTGTCTGAGTGTGTCTCTGTGTGTCTCTGTGTGTGTCCATGTGTCCGGGGCCTTGCCTTCTCCAGCCAGCACGGTGCCTGCACGTGTGTGTCTGTGTATGTGTGTGTGCATATGTGTGTGTCCACATGTCCGAGGCAGCAGCTGATCCCTATGGGATCCATCCCATCGGGTACATGCTGGGCATTTTCAGTCCGAGTGTTAGAGGAAGTTGTGGCTCTGTTCGTGCCCAGAGCGATGGGGTGGCTCCCTGCCTGCCTCTCTGCTCAGCCACGGCCCAGACCCGGGGAGGTGTGTGTGTGGGGGGGGGGGGGGGCGGTGGTTCTGCTCCCTGTTGTTGCAGTCACTGCTTTCCAGGTTGCGGGGCTGCCCTGCAGCTGCGTCCAGAGGACTTCTTTTCCATTCTCCCCCCCACCCCCAGGCGCCCTCTTTGCCTTCGAGATGCTCTGCACCATGCTGGGGAAGCTGTTCGAGCCTTATGTGGTCCACGTGCTGCCGCACCTGCTCCTCTGCTTTGGGGATGGGAACCAGTACGTGCGTGAGGTAAGTGTGAAGCTGCCGGCCAGGGCTCTCGCCTGGAAGGGTCCCCGCAGGAGTCTGTTCCCGGGGAGCCCGGGAGCCAAGGGTCCGGCCTTGACCCTGGTGGTTCGGTGATAGCCCCTGAACAAAGGTCTTTCCTCCTCCCTTGAGGCTGCAGATGACTGTGCCAAGGCTGTGATGAGCAACCTGAGTGCCCATGGGGTGAAGCTGGTGCTCCCCTCTCTGCTGGCTGCCCTGGAGGAGGAATCCTGGAGGACCAAAGCTGGTAAGGCCGCTCCTTTCCCTCTCTCAGCCCAGCCATGGGCCCTACCCTGGGTTGTGCTTCACAGTCCGGGATGAAGCCCCGAGTCGGCCTGGAGCCTCGGTCCTCCCCCAGTTCCGGCGCTGTCACGCAAAGGCCAGGCCTGCCTCTCAGTCGGAAAAGCCCAGGGCTTGCCCCGGTCTGTGGCACACAGGGACGTCAGCGCTTTCCTGCCATTAGGACACTCAGTAAAAACTCATTCTTACCTGGAAACCTGATTGGGAAAGCCAGACGGAAGCCGAGTTGTTCCGGCTCGGGGGGTGGGGGGAGCTCCGTGAGCCCATGCTGTGCTGTGTCTGCCCTCTGCAGGCTCCGTGGAGCTGCTCGGGGCCATGGCCTACTGTGCGCCTAAGCAGCTCTCGTCCTGCCTGCCCAACATCGTGCCCAAGCTGACGGAGGTGCTGACCGACTCCCACGTCAAGGTGCAGAAGGCTGGACAGCAGGCACTCAGGCAGATCGGCTCTGTCATCCGGAACCCCGAGATCCTGGGTATGTCCCCCAACAGCCCTGGCAGTGCAGCGCTCGCTGCATCTGAGGGTGACTGTCGTCCCGTTGAAATTGCCTCTACGTCTGGGAAGACCTTTTCCCTTGTCTTGGTTTGGGGGATTGGGAGCCGGGGGTAGGGAACCCATACGACAGTGCTCAGGGATCACTCCTGGCGGTATTCATGGATTCAACCTTATGTGGTGCTGGGGGCCCAGTCAGGTCAGCCGTGTGTATTGCCAGCGCCCTGCCTGCCCTGCAGTTCCTCTGGCGCCTAGAGTACTTGGATCTTATGGTTGTTTTACAGTGTTCAGCAGCCTGAGGCAATTCAGAAGCCCCGAACAATCACATTCCTGTCGAATGAAAGCTTCCTTTTAAGAATCCAGCCTGGGACATTTGTTTTAAAACTGAGAAACCATTTAGCAGGAAATTTTTTTTTCTTTTTTTTACGGGGAGTCACACCCGGGGTTCCTCCTGACTCTGCACTCAGGAATTACTCCTGGCGGTGCTCAGAGGACCATATGGGAGGCTGGGAATCAAACCCGGGTCGGCTGCATGCAAGGCAAACGCCCTACCCGCTGTGCTATCTCTCCGGTCCCAGGAAAGTCGGTTTTTTTTTTCTTTTTGGGTCACACCTGGCGATCCACAGGGGTTACTTCTGGCTCTGCACTCAGGAGTTACTCCTGGTGGTTCTCAGGGGACCATATGGGATGCTGGGAATCGAACCTGGGTCAGCCGCATGCAAGGCAAACACCCTCCCGCTGTGCTATCTCTCCAGCCCCAGGAAAGTTGTTTTTTAAAAATGTAAAAATCTCTGCCGTTTAAGATGGAGATGTGACCTAGTGGTATACGCTTGCCTTGCATGTGTGAAGCCCTGGGTTCAATCTCTGGCACTGCAAAAAAAATCAATAAAGAGGTTGCCTTAAACCCCCAAGACAAAGATTTCAGGGAACTCTTTCATAAGTAAGGGACGATACTGTTTTGCAAAGAAATGTACAAGGTAGGGCCCGGGCTGTGGCTCAGTGGGAAAGCATCTGCCTTGCGTGCAGAAATTTTGGTTCATTATTTGCACCATAGCACAGATAGTACAATTTAATGTTTTTAGCAAAATCATAAAATTAGGCATCAATTATGTAAATCTAGTTCTAGGGTTTTTTTTTTCCCTGTTCTTTGGGTCACAACCAGCAGTGATCAGGGCTTACTCCTGGCTCTGCACTCCGAAGTCGCTCCTGGTGGTGCTCGGACCATGGGTGGCTGGGGATCGAACCTACTTGGCCGCATGGAAGGCAAATGCCCTCCCCACCATACTGTGGCCCTGGCCCCTCTAGGGTATTTTCATCACCCTGAACAGAAGCCCCATCTGTGGTGGCTGGGGATGTAAGCTGGGGGTAGAGTACTTACCTTGCGCCTGCGAGGCCCTGGGTCCAATTCCCAACACAAAAGGGTCTCCTGAACCCAAGAGCCAGCTGGTTGCAGCCCCTTGGCACAGTTGGGTGTGGCCCCCAAACTAGGAACAGCCAAAAAACCCCACCGCCACGATTGTTTGCTCATCGTCACCCCCCACTGATGGACCCTGGCTAGCACCAGGTGAGCGCCCTCCACCTGCCTTCCCCCACCGACTCCCGGCACTGCAAGGTCTCTGCAGTCCCCCTAAACCCCTTTGAGTTCTCTCCAGTCAGAGGTCTGATTTCATGATTCTCGCCTACTCCCCGGCCCTGAACTGTTAACTTGCCTGTTCTCACAGTGACTGTGCCATTTGGTGCTTCCTTCCGCAGTGTGTGAGGGCGCCAGTTGCTTATACTGTTCTCGTGTATGTTTTTGGTTGTTGCTGTTGTGGGTGTGAAATGGCATCTAACTGGGCTTTTGATTTGCATTTCCCTGACGTGTCTTGACGTTGAGCTTGTCTTCATGGGCTTTCTGGCCATTTAAGAATCTCCTTCGGAGAACTGCCTGTTCGTATTCTTTGTCCTTTTAAAAATTGCGTACCAGGGTTAGAGAGGTGGGACATGGGTTCAGGCGCTTGCCTTGTGTACCACTGGCCCCAGTTCCACATGGGGTCCCCTGAACACCTCCAGGGGTCACTCCTGAGCATGGAGCCAGGAATAGCCCCTGATCACGTGTGCAGGTTCATTTTTCTCTCCTTTTTGGGCCACACCTGGAAGGGAGGGAATGCTGCTCTTGGCTCTGCACTCAGGACACTCCTGGCCGGGCTGGGGGACCATAAGGGAGGCCAGGGATTGAACCCAAGTCAACTGCATGCCAGGCAAGTGCCCTACCTGCTGTAGTGCCCTCTCTGACCCCACCAAAGATCTGAAAAAGGGGGAAAAATTGATTGCCGCCTGTGGTCTTCGCAGCAGTTGAATTCCCCAGCTGGTGGGAAACAGAAGCGAGGAGCTCTCTCGGACGCTTCTGTGCACCGCGCTGATGGCTGCGAGCTCATTCTCACCTGGTCTCGGCCCCTCTGAGCACTGTGGGCTGTGCTCTCCCTGCTACTGCAAGGGCATTTGGGCTTTCCGAACGGTTCTCCCATGAAGCCTGTCGGGTTGCGGACTGGAACTGGGGCCGCGGTGCGTGAGGAGCTCTTACGAGGAGGCCCCCCTCGTCCCAGCCTGATAGCTGCTGCCTGACCCGAGCCCTGACTGCCCCTGACTGAGCCGCCCCCCCTTGGGCGACTCCCCACCTCGCTTCTCCTTAGCGTCACTAGCCTCACTGCGGACCCGGCAGCTTTGCAGTCTCGTAGACTTTGTGCAAACCAGCTTTTCTCCTGTCTGGACACGCAGCCATCGCCCCGGTCCTGCTGGATGCCCTGACAGACCCCTCCCGAAAGACCCAGAAGTGTTTGCAGACCCTGCTGGACACCAAGTTTGTCCACTTCATTGATGCCCCATCCCTGGCCCTCATCATGCCCATCGTCCAGAGAGCCTTCCAGGACCGGTCCACAGACACTCGGAAGATGGCAGCCCAGATCATCGGCAACATGTATTCCCTGACCGACCAGAAGGTAGCAGCGGGGGTGACTGGTGGGCTTGGAGGTGGGCCCTGGCAGGGGGTGTGGGGGGTGGGGTGTCATCTCTGGGGGGAAGGAGGATAGAAATAGGCAGACCGGTGGCTCTGGCCCTTCCCAGCTCGATGCCCAGGTGCCTCGTCACAGCCTGGAGCAGAGGAAGCCAACCTTTGACCTTCAGGAGAGTTGGGGATACAAGCAGTCACACCCGTACCCTTCGAAGGAATTTAGCTGGCTTGTTTGAGAGATTTTACTTTGTTTAGTTATCATCTCATTTTTTAAAATGTACTTAAAGAAAAAACAATTTCAGTCACTGGAATTAGTTCCTCACGGTTGAGCTTCAGTCATACAGTGTCTCGACACCTGTCCCTTCACCAGTGTCCATTCCCTCCACCAGCCCACACCCCTGGCCCCCTCCCCCTCTCCCCTAGTCTGCCTCAGTGGGAGGTGAATTTTTGCCCTGTAGCTTGCAGTCCTGTTGCTGATAGGGATGATCTCTCTCCGCTATGTCTCTGCTTTGAGACTTCAGGCAAAAGAGATGAAGTGAAAAAGTTCCGTCAGTCCTCCAAACTGTATCTTCCTCTTTGGGGAGCCGGGGAATCGAATCTCCACAATTCCTCAACACAGAAGGCCTGATTAAAAATGTTCTTATTGCATTTAAGCTCTTATGTTCATATAATAAATTTATTTCCAAGTTGCAGTGCAGTTGACTCTTAGGGTTGGAGAGATAGTACGGCTTGGGTGTGGCTTGGCTTGCACACGGCCAACCCCGCTTCGTCCGAGCGCCTCTGGGATCCCCCCTGTGCCCACCTGGGTGTAGAGCCAGGAGTAAGGCCTGAGGACTGCTGGTGTGGCTCTAAAACAAACAGGAAAGGAAAGGAAAAAGACAAACACTTTCAGGTGAAGAAGCAGAAAATGATAATGCAGTTCGGAGAAGAGAGCACACGAACTAAGGCCCTGGGTTCTAGGAGGTGGCCAGGCACTGGTCCCGGCGGAGGGGCAGGCCAGGAGGAGGAAGAGCGTGCAGTGAGCAGGTGGCGCTCCAGCCGTTGAAGTCGGGCCCCTGCTCCCTCGGGAGTGCCCCTGTCCGGCTCCAGGGCATTCTTGGCCAGGCGGCCCTGGCTCCCCCCTACTCCCTTCGCTGCAGACTAGCCTGGGAGCCCCCCTGCTTGTCAGAACGTTGAGGCAGAGGCCACAGCAGAGCAGATGCTGCGCACGCCCGTCTCCTTCCCCGCCTGAGCCCCGCCGTCTTGTTGCAGGACTTGGCTCCTTACCTGCCGAGCGTGACACCGGGCCTGAAAGCTTCCCTCCTGGACCCCGTCCCTGAGGTGAGTCTGGGGCCCAGAGAGCAGGTCCCTGCCGTCACCCGAACAAGCTGCTCTGGTGTCTGGTGCAGGGAGGGCTGCCCCGGGCCCCTTCCCGCCTCCTGGCAGGTCACTCAGTTCTGGGCCCGTCTTGGTCCCCGTTTTCCTGCCAGGTGCGAACGGTCTCTGCAAAGGCCCTGGGCGCCATGGTGAAGGGCATGGGGGAGTCGTGCTTTGAGGACCTGCTGCCGTGGCTGATGGAGACACTGACCTACGAGCAAAGCTCCGTGGACCGCTCGGGCGCCGCGCAGGGTGAGGCTTGAGCAGGCCTGGGTCTGACCGGGAGCGGCCTCTGGGGGGCGGCCTCGGGTGCAGCTGTTTGTTTATTACCTCCTTCTGCTGCAGGGTTGGCTGAGGTCATGGCCGGCCTGGGGGTGGAGAAGTTGGAGAAGCTGATGCCAGAAATCGTGGCCACAGCCAGCAAAGTGGACATCGCCCCGCACGTCCGAGACGGCTATATCATGATGTTCAACTACCTGCCCATCACCTTTGGGGACAAGTTCACTCCCTACGTGGGGCCCATCATTCCCTGTATCCTCAAAGTAGGCACCGCGACTGCTGCAGATGCTGGGGCCACGAAGGGCGGGGGAGGCGCTGCCGCTGCTGCTTGGGCTGGGAGGGCCGGGGGCCTCATGCTGTTCTTCAGGGAGTTCCATCCCCGTCGGGTCTGGGGACCGGGGGGGCATCCCCTCACCCCTCTCCGATGTGTGCAGGCTCTCGCAGATGAGAACGAGTTTGTGCGTGACACGGCCCTGCGCGCTGGCCAGCGGGTCATCTCCATGTACGCCGAGACGGCTATCGCCCTGCTGCTGCCCCAGCTCGAGCAAGGCCTCTTTGATGACCTCTGGAGAATCAGGTGAGGCTCGCACCAGGAGTCCTGAGCAGCAGGGCCCGGCCCCTGGCGCTCATCTCGCCGGCACACGGGTCCCATCTCGCGCTGTGCTGCCAAGGGGCTGGGCCCAGGCCCTCTCGCATGCAAGGCACGTGATTGGTTTCTAAGCTGATGTGAGTCTGGGTCATTGTTTTTGCCTTCTCTGTGTCTTTCTTGTGTTTAAATTGTTTCAGTTTTTGTTTTGTTTTTTTTTCCAATAGCGTTTATTAAAACTTCCTTAGATTTAAGGGGAGAGAGGAAGTACGTATTCAGGAGAGAGAATGGGATTCTCTCGAGTGGAAAAGGCAGAGATGTAGAGACAAGGCAGTGAGATAGATAATGTGTTGAGGGGGCAGCATGGACTTGGAGAGCAAGCCAGTTGTTTTCAATCTTTAATGTTTTATAGTCATTAAAAATAAACTTCGGAGAAGTAAGTGTAAACCCTTCTGGGTCTCTCCTGATGTTTCCAGTTCTAATCAGCTTCTTTTAATGTTTCTTCGTGCACACACTCTTTTCTATGACTGTTTATTTGGGGAAGGGGACTTACTCAGCCTCCTGATGATTAGCCTCCAAGCTCTGTGTTCTGGGGACTGTGCAGTACTGGGGATTGAACCGAAGTCACCTTCATGCAAGGCAAACACTTTAACTCCTGAACTATGTCTCCTCCCCCTCCCCCCTTTTTTTGGGGGGGTCACACCTGGCAATGCTTAGGGGTTCAGTCCTGGCGCTGCACTCAGGAATTATTCCTGGTGGTGCTCAGGGGACCGTATGGGATGCCAGGGATTGAACCCAGGTTGGCTGCTTGCAAAGCAAACGCCCTATCTGCTGTACGATCTCTCTGGCCCCCTCTATCTTTTTTTTTTTTTTTTTTTTTGCTTCTTGGGTCACACCCGGCGATGCACAGGGGTTACTCCTGGTTGATGCACTCAGCTATTACTCCTGGCGGTGCTCGGGACCATATGGGATGCTGGGAATCGAACCTGGGTCGGCCACATGCAAGGCAAACGCCCTCCCCACTGTGCTGTCACTCCAGCCTCCACTATCATTTTTTTTTTAATGAAACGAAAGTTTAATTTTTTTTCTTGATTATTCATGCATACTATAGAAATGATCCCTGAAAGTAAAGTATTGCCTGGAGCGATAGCTCAGGGGTAGGGCATTTGTCTTGCGCACAGCCAGCCCGGCCGAGCCGGGTTCAATTCCTCCTCTCCTCTCAGAGAGCCGGCAAGCTACCGAGAGTATCTTGCCTGCATGGCGAAGCCTGGCAAGCTCCCCGTGGCGTATTTCGATATGCCAAACACAGTAACAACAAGTCTCAAAATGGAAGACGTTACTGGACCCGCTCGAGCAAATCGATGAACAACGGGAGGATGGTTCTTCAGACCATTCATGCATAGAGCTAATCCTTATAATTTCTGAAGTCAGTTTGAAATAACAGATTAAGAATTTTTGTTTTTGTTTTTTTTTTGGTAAACGGTAAATGCTTATTTTAAAAGAAAAAAATTTCAAATACAAATTTTCATATATCGATACTGTATCATTTTTATTATAGAAATGATCACATTCTGGGCCTGGAGCAATACCACAGCGGGTAGGGTGTTGCCTTGCATGCGACCGACCCGGGTTCAATTCCCAGCATCTCATATGGTCCCCTGAGCACCGCCAGGGGTAATTCCTGAGTGCAGAACCAGGAGTAACCTCTGTGCATCGCCAGGTGTGACCCTAAAAGCAAATAAAATCAAATAAAATAAAATATGGAGTTGCCTTCTCAGTTCATTTTTTAAAAAAATGATCACATTTGCTTTTTTACAGTGTTCATTCTTTTTTCACATTAGGTGATATGTGTTCATGGGCAGAAAACTTGGCAAGAAAATTTGTGGGAAAGCATCAAAAAATGGAATCAGGGGCCCAGGGATAGCTCAGAGGGCTGGAGTGCATGCATGAGCCCCTGAGTTTAGTCCCCTGACCTCTGCCAGGGGTCACCCGGAGGTCCGAGTGTCAAGCGTTTGATGACCGGGCATCACCAGGCCTGAGCAGTGCAGCCATCTGACTGGTTTGAAGAGTGTCACTGGGAATGGTTGCTGGCCCCAAGAATTGCTTGGAGACTCAGTGACTTCTAGGACACCACCTTGAGTGCTCGGGGGACTCTCCTTCCAGTTTGAACGTGCCCTGCCACCCCTCATGACCGCGGCGCTCTTTTTGGTGTTCTCAGGTTCAGCTCTGTTCAGCTCCTCGGGGATCTCCTCTTCCACATCTCAGGGGTCACCGGCAAGATGACCACAGAAACAGCTTCCGAAGATGACAACTTCGGAACAGCCCAGTCCAACAAGGTGCGTCCCCCGAGGGCGTGCCCTTTGGTGCTTGTGTGTGAGGCCTCTCCCGACTTTCCTGCTCCCTCTCCCACTCCAGGCCATCATCACTGCCCTGGGGGTCGACCGGCGGAACCGGGTGCTGGCGGGACTGTACATGGGCCGCTCGGACACGCAGCTGGTCGTGAGGCAGGCCTCCTTGCACGTCTGGAAGATTGTGGTGTCCAACACCCCCCGCACCTTGCGTGAGATCCTGCCCACTCTCTTCGGGCTCCTGCTGGGCTTCCTGGCCAGCACGTGTGCGGATAAGAGAACGGTACGTGGTCTTGCTCCTGACCCTCTAGGGGCTGGGAAACCATGTTCTGGGAAACTGGGAGAGGGCCTGGGGCTCCCTGTCAGAACTAACCATTGAGTCAGCACTATTTCTGTAGCATCTGCTATTGGCTGAGTAGGGGCTGGGACTCGGGTGCCAGAGGGTAAAAGGCTGTGTCCTTCCTTGCCTTGGAGACAGAGCTGGACATCACTGATCACTCAGACAGATGGAGAATACATCCGGGGCAGGTGTCGGTTGGCACTTGCTTGGGGGGGCATTTTGCCTAGTGGGTGGGGGTGCGCAGAGAAGGCTGCTGAAAGAAGGGGTGCTTCATGGGACAGGAAGGCTAGTCCAGCAGGTAAATTGCTTCCCTTGTACATGCCAACCCGAGTTCAATCCCCGGCACCCCGTGTGGTTCCCCGAGCACCTCCAGGACCGATTCCTGAGTGCAGAGTCAGGAGTCAGCCCTGAGCATCTCTGCGTGTGCCCGTGCCCCCCCCCCCACCCCAACCAGACAGAAATGATGCCTCACAATAAAGGGTGAGTCGGCACTAGGCCGTAGAGGACGTGAGGAGAAGACCGAGGGCCAAGTGCTCGCCGTGCCAGGAGGGACTCGCCGTGCACCAGCCATTGGCAGCTGGGACCTGGCCAGGGGGACTGAATCGGGGCGCTGGCCCGGGGAGCTAGGAGCGAGGGTTCCGTGAGCCAGGCGGGGCGGCAGTGCTCCGGGTTGGGAGGAGCACTTCCCCCCGTGCGGGTGATCCCAGCCCTCGCACACACGCTCTTGGGGAGGGGACGTTCGTCAGGCTGGGTGTAATTCAGCCATAAAGCATTTGCGTGGCATTTGTGATGAGCGCAGTTTGATCCTGGCTAATAAAAATGTAAAGACTGAAGAACAAGCAGGGGTTTGCGTGAGGTGAGGAGGAGGTGGGCTCTCCGGCAAGCCTCGTTTCTGGCTCGGCCCCCCTAAGCAAGAGCTCCAGGTTAAGGATTTTCAGGCTATGGTTTTCTGCAGTTTGTTTTAATTTGCAATGCCAGGGAACTCGCGGGAGTTGCGAGCATGCAGAGCGCGTCCTTGTCCCTTGAGCCACCCTCCCAGCCTGGCCAGTTTCAGCCCCGAGAAGGGCGCCAGTGTAGGCTGGACTCTGGGCTTCCGTGCAAGGTGCCGGCTCCCGCGTTAGCCTGTGTTGGTGCATACAAAGCAGGAGTTTGTTCATTCTGAGGTGTTCTGCAAGGGCCTGGCGCTTCAGGGCCAAGAGCATTTGGCCAGGACCTTGGCTGACGCCTTGGAGTCCCAGCCCTCGTTCTGGACTTGCCCCCTGGGTGCCCTGGACCGGGAGGGGAGTCGATGTCCTGGCTGGATCTCTCTGCTGACAGATTGCCGCGAGGACGTTGGGAGATCTAGTCCGGAAGTTAGGGGAGAAAATCCTGCCCGAGATCATCCCCATCCTGGAGGAAGGCCTGAGGTCTCAGAAGAGTGACGAGAGGCAGGGCGTGTGCATCGGCCTCAGCGAGATCATGAAATCCACCAGCCGGGACGCCGTGCGTATCTCCAGGGGCCTGTGTGGGGCTGGGGGATGCGTGGGAGGTGGCTTCTCCTCGCCCTTTTTAAGCTAGTCACCAGTGCTGATTACTTTGGGGGTCACTCTGAGTTTGGTCAGGCTCATGGTGGCCTTCCTGGGAGGAGGAGACGCAGGAATCCGGAAGGGGTAGAGTAGGTTAGAGGTCAGTGGTGGGAGCACTGGTTCCCAGTGGTCACCGTTGCTGCCGCAGCAGCGTGCAGGTCTGCGGCACTTCTCTGGAGCTCCTGCTCAGGGAGTTGATGGCCTCGATGGCTCAGCGCCTGAGAGTGTCTCGGCATGAGCACAGGAGAGCCCTCACGGGGTGAGCGCCGCGAGCGAGGAAATGGGTGGCTGCAGAAATGGGAGCACGCAGCCTCGCTCCTCCCGCGCGTCCTGCGGTGGGGGACAGCTGCAGGCTTCACGCATGCGCTCTGTCACCGGAGCTGAGATCCACCGGTGTTGCCCGGTCCCCGAAGGCTCAGGCCCTGCCTGTGAGATCCAGATCCGTCCCCTTGGCGCACCAGCACCCGTTAGATTCGAGTTTTGCTTGGGCGAGCCTGGGCGAGTTAGATTCGAGTTTTGCTTGGGCGAGGGAGCAAAGGCCTCGTGGCCTGCATGGGCCGGGAACTTCACGGCAGCGAGTGCTGAGTGGAAGCTCGAATTAGAACTTGGGGCTCCCCAAGGGGATGAGCAGAAGTGGGGGAGAGGAGGGAGGCCACATCCTGCGGGGCCTCACCGGAGAGGAAGTTGGGGCTTCCGAGTGGCAGAGCCAGGGCTTCTTGTCGTGTGCCCAGGGCCTTTTTTTTTTTTTTTTAAATGTAGGAGTACTGTTTATTCAGCCACTGATTAGCTGATTGAATTGGGCATGCACTCCACCTTGCTTTTTTTTTTTTCCATAGTTTTATTTATTTATTTTTCTTCTTAAATTTATTTATTGAGTCACTGTGGGAAAAGATACTAAGCTTTCAGGTTTAAGTCTCGTTCATACAATGATCAAACACCTTTCCCTTCACCAGTACTCATTTTTCACCACCAAGAACCCCAATATACCCCCTTCCCACCCCTCCCAAAGCCTGTGAGGCAGATGATTTCCACTTAACTCTTCTCTACATTGATTACATTCATCATTTCGACAAAAGATGCACCATTATTGTTTAGAATTCTCCCCCCCGCCCCCCAACTATCAGAATTGCTGAAAAAGCATTGTGAAATACTTTTTTTTTCTATAGCTGGTTATGAGAACCATATAATGATTTTGGTTTGGATTTCTGCAAAGAGCCAGATAATTACAAGATTGGTTTCTGCGCATCTGGTGTTATGGCTGTGCCGGAGAGCTGCTCTTGGGGGGCAACTCGTGACCTCAGTAGGGCGTGAGGGACGAGCCGGTATTGCCCCCCCCCCCTCCCATGAGACTGCAGTTGCCCTGTCACCGCCGGCTCATACCTGGCTTTCCTATAAGTCCCGAGATGGAGGCCATGGCTGTGTATGCAGTCCAGATGCATTTCTGCCAAAAGTTGCTGGGTTTCGAGATTTGTTTCTGAGTCTCTGGGATCATGGCCGTTAATCAGCTTGATCAGGAGCCGGAGAGGCCATTTGTAGGCGGCGACTCGGGGTCTCGCTGGGACGGGGAGGAAAGGGCCGGTTCTACCCGCATCTATCTGGTGAGGCCCCGCGTGTCTTGTCACTGCAGGCCCAGGGCCATTTTGGATGTTAGAACATTGTTCTTGGGCCAGACGGTACTGGCAGATGCACCGTAGACAGCCTGATGAGCAGCGCACGGGTCTGTCTCGTCGTGACCTAGGGCCAGGCTCATTGATTTCACAGCCCTTATAGTGTCTGGGCCTGACAGGCCGCCGCTGGGGCAGATGGCGCGGGGCAGCCGAGACCCCTTAGAAACTGAGCTGCTGGGGGCCAGAGACTTAGCACAGGGTTACCGGGCTTGCCTGCACAGCTGAGCCCAGTTCAATCCCGGCACCACAGACCCCACAAGCACCACCAGGGGCCGCTCGAGCACACAGCAGGAAGAGCCCCTGAGCTCCTGGGTGTGGCCCAGACTCCCTATCTCCCACCCTCAGAGTCAGGCTCTGAGTTGGCACAGGTCCCCCTCCTCCCCCAGCCCCAACCCCCGCCCCTCTAGTCCATTCTGCTTTTCACATGTGCAGGGTCAAGAGGGCGGGCGCTGAGGCCGTGGCAGTGCCGTGCTGGTCAGGTCCCCGGCGCCCCCACACTTGCTTCCGGTCCCTCCCTGCCTCCGCCGGCCGGGTACATGTGTGGCACCGTTGCAGGTGCTGTACTTCTCCGAGTCCCTGGTGCCCACGGCCCGGAAGGCTCTGTGTGATCCGCTGGAGGAGGTCAGGGAGGCGGCCGCCAAGACCTTCGAGCAGCTGCATGCGACCATCGGCCACCAGGCCCTCGAGGACATTCTGCCCTTCCTTCTGAAGCAGCTGGTGGGTGCTGCCGCCGCACGCCCACGGGTCTGCCTCCGGCCAGTGTCACACAGGCAACATGCCTGGGGCCTCCAGCTTGATGCCACGTCTCCCATCACTGCCTGGGCAGGGCAGCAGTGGGAGGGAGGGGGTAAGGGATGAGCAGCTGCAAGCTGGTAGTGGGTGACGAGGCCAGTGCCAGCTTCCCGACATTGCCCCCGGCCCCCCTGCAGGATGATGAGGAAGTGTCAGAATTCGCCCTGGATGGCCTGAAGCAGGTGATGGCCATCAAGAGCCGCGTGGTGCTGCCCTACCTCGTGCCCAAGGTAAAGTGCCGCGTGTGGCGACTGGGGCCCCGGCATCACCTCTGGGGCTCCCTGAGCAGCCCTGGAGCTCACGGTCGTCCCTTTGCAGCTGACCACCCCGCCTGTCAACACCCGGGTGCTGGCTTTCCTCTCGTCCGTGGCAGGTGACGCCCTGACCCGTCACCTTGGCGTCATCCTCCCGGCAGTCATGCTGGCCCTGAAGGAGAAGCTTGGCACTCCGGACGAGCAGTTGGTGAGCGTCATCCTGGCCGGATGTCGTGCTGGGCTGTCCCGGCCCGGAGGGGGAGCCATGCTCAGCCCCGGCGTCCCTTGTGGTTTTAGGAGATGGCCAACTGTCAGGCCGTGATCCTCTCTGTGGAGGACGACGTCGGGCACCGGATCATTATTGAGGATCTGCTGGAAGCCACCCGCAGCCCCGAGGTGGGCATGAGGCAGGCCGCCGCCATCATCCTCAACATCTACTGCTCCCGCTCCAAGGCTGACTACACCTGCCACCTGCGGAGCCTGGTCTCGGGCCTGATCCGCCTCTTCAATGACTCCAGCCCAGTGGTTCTGGAGGAGAGCTGGGACGCCCTAAACGCCATCACCAAGGTGCGGAGTTCAAACACTTTTTTCCTTTTTGGGTCACCCAGCGGTGCTCAGGGGTTCCTCCTGGCCCTGCACTCAGGAATCACTCCTGGTGGTGCTCGGGGGACCCTATGGGACGGGGATTGAACTCAGGTTGGCCGCGTGCCAGGCAGACGCCCTCCCTGCTGTGCGATTGCTCCGGCACTTCGAACGCTTCTCAGAAGGCTTGGCCCTTAACCGCCCTCCCCCCGCAGGGGCCTCCCCCCTGGCTGGCACACCTCTCGCCGGGTGTGTGCTCAGCGCCCTGACACCCTCTGCTTTGCCCTGGCTCCCCACAGAAGCTCGACGCAGGGAACCAGCTGGCACTCATCGACGAGCTCCACAAAGAAATCCGGCTCATAGGCAACGAGAGCAAAGGCGAGCATGTGCCCGGGTTCTGCCTCCCCAAGAAGGTACGTGGGGGCTCCCCGCACCTCTCCCCTCCGTCCCCGGCTTGGCTCTGGAGCTGCTGCTGCAGTGGCACCTGCCCAGACCCTGCGTTTCCAGGGTGGCCCGAGGGGCAGGGCTGCTGGTGGCAGCTGCATCACCAAGGGGACCGCAGCATGCGCGCCCCAGGGCCTGCGGGGGCTCCTGCCTCCTGGGCACCGTGTAGTCCTGCAGCGCCTCAGGCTGAAACCTGATGGGTGCACCCGTCCCTCGTGGCGTGGTGCAGAGGACATTTGACGGAAGGGTCTCCTTCGGGTGGGAGACTCCCGGGCCCTGCGCTGTTGAGGTCTCACCTTCTGGTTGGTTCTCTCGTCAGGGCGTCACCTCCATCCTTCCAGTGTTGCGGGAAGGGGTACTGACAGGCAGCCCCGAGCAGAAAGAGGAAGCGGCCAAGGCGTTAGGCTTGGTGATCCGCCTGACCTCGGCAGAGGCCTTGAGGCCCTCCGTGGTCAGCATCACTGGCCCTCTGATTCGCATCCTGGGGGACCGGTTCAGCTGGAACGTGAAGGCCGCTCTGCTGGAGACGCTCAGCCTCTTGCTGGCCAAGGTGAGTGAACGGCAAATTCGTGCTCTGGCTCCTCTCAGACCTTGGCCAGCTGGTGGCCGCAGGAGGCTGGCCTTGAGCTCAGGACTCACCACACCGCTGTCGGGTCCCGGCCACCGCGGAGTCTGGCTGGGGTGGCCTTGGGAGGGTCTCTCGACCTCGGAACCCCTGTTCCTCATCTCTAATTTGCCAGAGGGTGGGGAGCTGTGGCCTGGAGGAATAATGGTGGGCACATTGCCCGGCCTATTCTGAGCCTCGGACACGGTCATTGCCGTTATTTTGGACTGTTGGTCCAAAGGGAAAAATCCAGAGCCACGTAAATACAGTGCACACATTGTTTAAGCATGCTCTCATTTCTTATTGAGTCTTTATAATGGGAGATGGAAGGAATCTGGCGAGAGAATGAAGAGGAAGTCTGCATGCAGCTGGAATGGCTTTGGTTTTGCCAAAAGAAAGAAGCAAAGAGCCAATATTGTGACCATTGCTGATGCTTTATAGGACAAGATTGAAGCTGTTCAGTTTAGGTTTTTTTTTTTTTTTTTTGCTTTTTGGGTCATACCTGGCAATGCTCAGGGGTTGCTCCTGACTCTGCACTCAGGAATTACTCCTGGCAGTGCTCGGGGGACCATATGGCATGCTGGGGATCAAACCCAGGTTGGCTGCATGCTAGGCAAACGCCCTACCCGCAGTGCTATTGCTCCAGCCCCTAGTTTAGAAATTTTGAACATCCAAGGTTTATTGTTGTAAAAAAAAATTGCATTTTTGCACTGAAGCAAAAGCAAGTTGAAAACTTGTCCCGCCAGTCCCTCGGGTGGGGCTCAAGTGGCGGAGCACGTGCCTGGCGTGAGTGAGGCCCAGAGTGTGACCCTGGGCACTGGGTGCTGGGTGTGGCCCATGCGGAAACTGGAGCTTTTTCCTTTTGTGCATTTTCTCAGCTCTGAAAAAGTGTAAGAGTGTGTGTGTGTGTGTGTGTGTGTGTGGCCGGGGGGGGGGGGGTAAGTGGGGAGCGGGGGGATGGCAGAAAGGGGAGCGGGAGCGGGAAGACAATGAACTGTGTTTATGTGAGTATAACGGGCTGTGTGTGTGATGTGTGATGCCCAGAGAGACCCCAGGCCTCACACCTGGCCGGGCGGGTGTTCTTAAGAGCTGTGTGCTTGGCCTTTCCCCCATGCTTCAGTGCATTTGGAGCTGGAGTTTCAAGTCCCTTGAGTGTCCCCTGATCTTCCTCCACCTCCTCCCAGGAGCATGAGGGGTGCCGGAAGGGAAGGGGCAGGTGACTGTGGCCTTCCGTGCTGGGGTCGTCCCTCTGAGCCCAGAGGGAAGTGGTTGCTGGGCCTGCCTCTGGTGGCGGGGCCAGCGGGAAGCTGCCGCCTGGGGTGCCACGTCAGCTCTGCTCTGGGGCGTGGGCCTGTCTTGTCTCCCAGGTGGGGATCGCCCTGAAGCCCTTCCTGCCCCAGCTGCAGACCACGTTCACCAAAGCCCTGCAGGACTCCAACCGCGGGGTGCGCCTAAAGGCGGCCGAGGCTCTGGGGAAGCTCATCTCCATCCACGTCAAGGTGGACCCGCTCTTCACAGAGCTGCTCAACGGGATCCGCGTCGTGGAGGACCCGGGGGTCAGGTGAGGTGCCCGTGCTGGCCGGGAGGAGCATGCGCGCAGGGGTGTGGCGGGCAGGGCTGAAGTGAGGCGTGTCGGCTCTGCAGGGACACCATGCTGCAGGCCCTAAGGTTCGTGATCCAGGGCGCCGGGGCCAAGGTGGACTCTGCCATCCGGAAAGGCATCGTCTCCCTCTTGCTGAGCATGCTGGGACATGACGAGGTATGGGGGGGCGGGGGGGCAGGGGGGTGGCAACTGGTGGGTGCCGTTCTTTCCCCTCTCGTGGGTTGGCATCTCTACTTCCTGACGGAAGACCTTGGTGCAGCCACCCCCCGTCAACAGCAAAACTCCTTCCCACGTCCCCAGCACTCTTGATTTTCCTGGGAGGAGGCCGGAGATAGTGTTCGCACAGACTGGGCTGTTTGCTAAGAGGGAAAGGAAGGTTTTACTCTGGCCCAGATGCTCCCTAGTTTGCTCTCCAGCCCTTTCCTCTTTGCCCTTCGTTTCCCCATTTGTAAAACAGAGAGGTTCCTTTCATGGGGTCAGGAAACCTTGACTGGGCCCAGGGGCCTGGCCCAATAAAGCTTGGCCACAGCCTCCGGAAACGTGTCTGGACGGAAATGTCTCCGTCAGGTCTGTCAGAGGTGAGACTTGCTGGGGCCACAGCTGTGCCTAGACCCAGGCAACACAGACCACCCCTGAGGGCGCCCTGCACGGGGGCCCAGGACGCTTGTCTGCCCTTGGCCTCGCGACCTCATCGACACGTGGGGCACCTGGTCTTACTGCCGCGTTCTCGAAGCTCCCGGCTCTGGACCAGGGCCCCGGCCTCCTCGGGCACAGCCCCTCCTCGGGACGGCCTTCTGTCGGTCATGGGCTGCCTGGCGGACAAGTCAGTGTGTCAGCCGGTTTGAGTTGCACCACAGTGGGCTTGGTGCAGACCGCTGGAGAGAGCAGCTGGCAGGGAGACGCTGCGGCTTTGCTCAGAGCTCAGAGCCCCGGATGACCAGCGCCCCTGCCGCCTCTGCCCTCCGCGGAACGTGCTCTGCATCAAGGTGGCCATTCAGGGGGTCAGCCTGGCACCAGCCTTCTCCTGTGCCTGGTTGGCTGGTCAAGTTGGGAGTCCATGGGCCGGAGTGACAGTGCAGAGGGTAGGTTGGGAGCACTGGCCTTGATCTGCGTTCAGTTTCAGGCACCCCCTGTGTTCCTCCAAGCCCCGCCGGGAGTGATCCCTGCGTGCCAAGCCAGCCCCGAGCAGTTCCAGGCGTGGCCCAGCAAACAAAACCAGAAAGAGTTGCTCTTAGCAGCAGTATGGCAGGTCACTTAAACTGGATCAGCCCCTTCTTAGCTGGCTGGGAGGAGCCACGCAGAGCAGAGCGTTTGGTTCCCCGGCTTTGGTTTTGACAGGAAGCATCCACCTGTCCCTTCCTTCCCAGAGGTGCTAAGTGGCTTTTGGGGAGACCTGGTGATGTGGGTGGCAGTGGGGATGGGACACAGCGGAGGGAAGCCGGGAGCAGTCACTGGGCCCAGGATCGAGAGGTGAGAGAGCTGAGTGGCCCCAAGACGGAGGGCAGGGCCCGCCCCCTCGCCACCCCCGGGAGCGATTGCAGTGATCAGGATGATGGGCACCGAGTGTCCCGCCTTTCGAGGAGCACAGTCATCACTGCTGTTACGGTGATTGCCATGTGTGTGCACACTGGCCTTGTCTGTAATTGACGGGCTGTGTGTGTGATGTGTGCGTGATGTGTCACTCGGCACCAGTGGCGGCTGCAGTGAGTGGCATTGCAGCTGGCACCAGGTACAGGCGTGGCTGCCGAGGCTCACGCTGCCTCTCGGCCCTTCTCTGCTGCCAGGACAACACCCGCATCTCGTCGGCGGGCTGCCTGGGGGAACTGTGTGCCTTTCTCCCTGAAGACGAGCTCAGCAGTATTCTTCAGGGCTGCCTGCTGGGTAAGAGTCCTTCCCTCCCCTGGTGGTCTCTGCAGAGAACGCAGCTCTGTAAGCAGTTTGGGGGTCCCTTCCTTCATTTGTACTTGGGTGGGGAGGTCTGTTTCCCGGAGTGGATCTGGGCTGGTGCTCCAAGTGGACCCTCTCACCAGGGAAGTGGGCTACGCCATGGGCTTCTGGGAGGCGGCAGGCATGCCCAGACCCACAGGCTGACCCCCGCTGTGTCTCCGTCCAGCGGACGTGTCGGGCATTGACTGGATGGTTCGGCACGGGCGCAGTCTGGCCCTCTCCGTGGCTGTGAACGTGGCTCCCAGCAGACTGTGTGTGGGCAGATACAGCGCTGAAGTGCAGGACATGATTCTCAGCAACGCCGTGGCGGACAGAGTAATGCTTTGGGATCACTTGCCCTCGCCAGACCCCACAGCTGTGGCCGTAGCCCAGGGCAGCCCCGGACTGGGTGCAAAGAGGCCTGCGTCCTAATTGCACCTTTGTTGGCCTGGGATTTGGGTTGCAGCCTCTTGGGACCCCTTCTCGGTCAGAGTCGTCTCCGGTCCCTTCCCAGGGCACCAGGCCTGTGGGTATGGTGCCTCTGCCTGCCTCAGTGGGCAGCCGAGAAACTGCAGAGTGACGCAGCCAGCCAGGGGGAGGGGGGCGCTGGCGGGCAGCTGGGGGTCTGCAGAGTCAGGTCCTGGAGCGGGGCACTTGGTGCCTGGCTCCCTCTTCTCCCCGTAGATCCCCATCGCGGTGAGTGGGGTCCGTGGCATGGGCTTCCTGCTGAAGCATCACATCAAGACAGGAGGGGGCCAGCTGCCGGCCAAGCTCTCCAGCCTGTTCGTCAAGGTGAGCGGGCTGCGGTATGGGCAGTGTCTTCAGAGCAGGGCAAGTGCAGAACCCAGTGGGGTGGTGGGCAGTTTGCTTGGGAAGAAGAACCAACTGTTTGACAGGTTTGCAAATTAGCCCTGTGACGCCAAGTCAAGGGAAAAACCGTTATTCTCCGCCTTCTTTCTGGGTACTCCAGTTCTGTCCAGGGACAGATCTGAGTGTCCATCTCCTTCCAGATGGGGGCGGTGCTAACGGGCGGGGCTGCGGGGACAGGCAGCCTGTGGGTCCCCACCCTGTGAGAGAGGAGGGCCCTCTCAGGCGAGCAGGCCCACACACGGCCCAGGTGGCGTTTCCAGTGATGGGGGCCAGGCTCCGCCTTATCAGCTGCTCCCCAGACCTGGCTTTGAGCAGTGAGCCTCCAGGGCTGCTGGCCTCTGCCCTCCACGCCCCGTTGGAGCGAGTCTGCAGGAGGCCGCTCCTCGTCCAGGAAACCCACCACACCACATGGGCGGGTCCCTGAGGGCTGGAGATGAACAGGGACCCCCGGATCGCTGGAGCGGGGCAGTTCCTAAAAGCCAGCGGAGGGATGCAGAGATAGGACAGGGGGTGGGGCACTTGACCTTAAATACGGCTGATCCCCGGGCACTGCCAGATGGAACCCTAAAACAAAGCCCCTGGAGAGGTCCCTGATCCATAGGGTTGTAGTGGGGGACCTTAATTTAGTTGGCGGGTTATGGGGGAGCGTCCCGAATTTAGATAGGGTTGTGGGGGATAGGGCTGGAGGTCGAAGGTGGGGATGGGGTGGTAGGGGTGGTAGGGGATCGTCTCTTCAGGTTGGAGGGGGATGGGTGTCACTGATTGAGATAAGGAGCGTTGAGGAGGCCCCAGATCTAGACAGGGTTCTAGGCGCAGGTGTCTAATTCAGGTTGGGCTGGAGCAGGAATCGGCAAAGGTGGGCATCTGCACTGAGACCTGAGGAGCGGGAGGCAGTGGGAGAGATCAGTCTCGGAGCTGGCAGGGGGACCTGCCAGTATGAAAGCTGGCGGGGCGGTCAGGTGGGAGAGCCCTGAGTGGGGGCAGCAGAGGGCTGAGCCCCTCTCCGTCTCCTCCTGGGAGGCTGAGCGTTGCTGGGAGCGGCGGGCTCAGCTTCCACGCCAGTGTGAACGGGGCTTTGTCAAGAAAGAGACGGGAGCTGCCCGACTCAGGGCCTGGGTTCCTCTTCACAGTGTCTGCAGAACCCATCTAGTGACATTAGGCTGGTGGCCGAGAAGATGATCTGGTGGGCGAACAAGGACCCGCTGCCGCCCCTCGACCCTCAGGCCATCAAGCCCATCCTGAAGGCCCTTCTTGACAATACCAAGGATAAGAACACCGTCGTACGGGCCTACAGCGACCAGGCGATTGTCAACCTCCTCAAACTTCGGCAGGGTGACGACGTGTTCCAGGTGGGAACCGGCAGCTGGGGTGCTGGCGCATGCCCTCTGCGGGTCTTCCGCCCGTCTGTGAGCTGTTCAGGCTTTCTAAAACCGCTCCTTCTCTGAGTCATTCGGAATAGCGAGCTTCCTGAGACCCAGAGCCCCATCCCTGTATGTGTGTGTGTGTGTCCTGCCTCAAGGGAGCTGATTGTTTCTCTTGCTTCCCTCCTGTCCAGAGCCCTGTCCCCGAGAGTGTGTGTGTGTGTGTGTGTGTGTGTGTGTGTGTCTGCCTATGTATGTGTGTCTCTGTGTGTGTGGTGTGTGTGTGTGTGTGTCCCCTGCCCCAAGGGAGATGAGCGTTTCCCTTGCTTCCCTCCTGTCATCCAGTTCGCCAGATCGCACCTCCCACCCCCACCCCCACCCCCAGTGGCTCTAGTTTGAGACTGTTGCTCTTTACCTGGGGAGACTAGAGACGTGTTTCCTGACTGCAGTTCATTTCCACTTCCCCACAGGCCCTCTCCAAGATCCTGGACGTGGCCAGCTTGGAGGTGCTCAACGAGTGCAGCCGGAGGTCCCTGAAGAAACTGGCCAGCCAGGCCGACTCCTCGGAGCAGGTGGACGACACCATTCTGACCTGAGGCGCCGGCCCCTTGCCGGGGCTCTGCAGCAGCCTTTCGGCTCCGCATCTTGTTCGATGTTTTCATTTTTGAAAATAACGTCTGTTCCGATGGGGAGCTTAGGAGATGGCGTTCCCAGAAAGTATTTTAATATATCAACAGACCACAGCCAAAGCCTTAAGTCAAACCCACACACAACGGAAAATTGCCTCCTCCAACTCACCCTTTTCTCTAGAGAAAGAAAAAAAGGAAAAAAAGCACATGCATAAGACTCAGCAGAGCTGCTCACCCAGCTTCGCATGGCTGGTCTGGAACAGCGGGGTCGACTTCCGCTTCCCCTTCCTGCGTTGGAGCTGTCGCTTGCAGCCACCTGCCTCGGGCCGAGCGGCAGAGGTCTGTCTGGTGTGGCATGTCCTGGCTTGGCTTTTCACTGTGGTGAGGCCCCCCCGGAACAGGCCCTACCAGGTGAAGTGACCCCAGCGTGGCCCTGGCAGTTCACGTTTGAGGAGGGGGAGAGGTTCAGTGCAGGCTGTTTGAAGAGGAAAGTTTAATAAAGGCTTTGATTTCAGCTTATTATAAGCAGGGTTTTCTGTTGGGGTTTTTTTTTTTTTAAATCTTCAAATACCCTTTAAACACGGTACTTCCTGCCTGGGGCCTGAGGAAGGGCCCACGGCTGTTTCCGCGTGCGCCGGCAGTGTTCTGCTTCTGAGAGGCCCTGCCCGCCGCCGGAAGTCTACAGAGCTCAGGTCTTGAGAGGGGTGCAGCGGCCTGTGAGGAGGCCTGGTGTGGAGGAGCAGGGCACCAGCCCCTCCCCGCACTGTCCCGACTCAGAAGGCTTAGGGAGAAACAGCCCCTGGTGTGGAGTCAGGAAAAAAACCCACGGTTCTGTAGTCAAAGGACTTGCCGGAGGAAGCCAAAGTTGCAGGTCCGCTCCTGCCTCCTTTGTGAATGACTTCCTTCCTCCTGGTTCTTAGAAGGCTCGTGATCACACTCCTCTGGGCTCAGTGACGCAAGCTTTTCTGAGCTGTTTCCTTGGTCACAATAGGGAACAAGCCTCTCAAAATGACTGGCTAGAGTGTAAAAGGAAGAGAAATTAAACTTGATAGCCAACTCAGTTTGTGAAAGGTATACTCTGCCGTCCCGGGAGGAGCACGGCCCCGGCACAGTGGTAGACGCTAGCCTTGTGACTCAGCACTTGGAGGAATGTGACAAGTGTCCTTTGAGGCATTTCGGTGAAATCCTTGCTTTCTGTGGCTGCGTCTTGTGGGTCACTGGACTGTTTTGCAGTGGACGTGATCTCAGCTGGCTCCCTGTAATTGTGGAATCCCAGGGCTGGGACAGACCTTGAGGGGGGCACTGAGTCGCTCCCCGTTGTTGAAGCTTTGGTAGCCATGGCAACTGTTCCCTGTGCCTGGGATTCAGATGGGTCAGCAGTGCCCTTTCTCCCAGCTGCTAAGGCATATGCCCAGCAAGCTGCCTGCTGGACGTGGTCACCTCTGCCAGTTAGCTGTGGTGAGGCAGGAGTTTCTGTGTGAGCCAGTGGGGCCTGGAACCCCCGTAAGGGCCCCAAAGTTTCTCCAGGATCTCAGTGGAAGAGCCAGTATGCCCCTCCAGAGTTCAGTCTCTAGTCGGAAATGGGAAGGGAAGCCTGATGTACTTGGAGGTGGGACTTAGTCTTTAAGGAAAGTCCAAAGGAAAAACACCAGTTTCCAGCGAGAGAAACCGGAGGAGGAGATCTTTCTGTTCAAGAGGGAGGGAGGAAGGTTGATTCACAGACGGAGATGACTCAAAGGTTCCCGAGCATGTGGACTTGCCTTCCCCGAGTCGAGTCTGGAGGGAGGGCGTGCTCGCCCAGGAAGTGAGCTGTGAGGGGAGAGGCCAGAAGGACCTGTCAGCCCAGTGTTGGCCCCATCAGCCCCAGAGGGGACACTGGGAGTGGAGCTGGCCACAGGGAGGGACTCACACAGACACTGTTAGCCCCTGGGGGTCGGGGGGAGTGAGACATGATTAGTCTTGGAAGCCCTACAATAATTTTCATTTTCTCCAAGTTACCTTTTAGGGGTAAATCATAGATGACATTTTGCTTTGTTTTTGGAGGGGGGGATTTGTTTTGGGGCCATACCTGGTAGTTCTCAGGGCTTACTCCTGGCTCTGTGCTCAGGGACCATTTGAAGATGTTGGAGATCAAACCCAGGTCAGCTGCATGCAAGGCAAATGTCTGCCTTGTACTTTTGCTCCGGCCAGACATTTTGCATTTTTAAAATGTGATCAGCCGGGGGCTGGAGCAATAGCACAGCGGGAAGGGCGTTTGCCTTGCACGTGGCCGACCCAGGTTCAATTCCCAGCATCCCATATGGTCCCCTGAGCACCGCCAGGAGTGATTCCTGAGTGCAGAGCCAGGAGTAACCCCTGAGCATCGCTGGGTATGACCCCAAAAAGCAAAAAATAAAATGTGATCAGCCAACTTTGGAAGTAGGATCCCTTGTTACTGTTGTTCGGAGGAGGAAGTGGAGGGATGGAGAAGTCGCTTGCTCGGGGTCAGCTGGCTCACAGCAATCTGGAGAGCAAGAGCTCGTCCTAGTGTTTCCCTGTCTTCCCTGCTGACTGGCCAGGACAGGCATTTCCCTTTAGCAGGATGGCTCAAGGCCTTCAGATTGGCACCAACAGGCTCCAGAGATCGGGGCAGGTGTGGGGGTCAATACCTCACCCCACTTCAACATCCTGGCTGGAAAACCTCTAGACATTCTACTCCGCCGTCCTCTAGAGAGGAAACTTGTTCTTTTTGCTTTTGTTTTTGGGCCACACCCAGCTGTGCTCAGGGCTCGCTCTTGGTTCTGCATCATATGGGATGCCGGGGATCGAACCCGGGTCACCCATGTGTCAGGCAAACACCCTATTTGCTGTACTCTCTCTCCGGCCCCAGAAACTCGTACTTTTCTCCTTCAGCTGATGACCCGCTTCACCGATTCAGAGCCCCTGGCCTTGTGGGCATCAGGATGGTTTGCAAAAGTGGCATAGTGTGACGTGGCTGACCTCTTTTCTGGTAAGTTCCTCTGGTTGTCTGTCCTGTTGCTGTGATAGGAAAGGTCTGAGAGAGGCCAGGGCACCCGTGGGATGGACTCAAGATTTTTATTTGCAGGGATTTGGAGACTTTGGCCGAGAGCAGATTTTCAAATGAGACTGGCAGTTAGGAAAAGTTTTTCTTCAAATGTGGTTCTATGTGGATGTATCTTAAAGGGCTTCAAGGTTTTCAAAGGAGCGATAGGACAGCAGGTAGGACGTTTGCCTTGCACACGGCCGACCCGGGTTCGATTCCTCTGGGCAAGCTACCGAGAGTATCTCGCCCGCACGGCACAGCCTGGCAAGCTACCCGTGACGTATTCAATATGCCAAAAACAATAACAAGTCTCACAATTTGTTGTGAGATGTTAATGCTGCCCGCTCGAGCAAATCGATGAACAATGGGAGGGCAGTAGAGAAAGAAACCGGAGTAAGTTCCAAAGCAGGTCGGAACGGACTAAGGAGATGGACGTGCTGAGGCTCGTGCAGAGAGCACTCTAGTGGTGCCTGGAGACTCTGCATATGGGTCAGGCTGAGTGGCAGCACTTCCTGTTCACCCGGGTGACCCGGTGCACATTCCTGAGCCTCTTGCAGCCGCGTGTCCCCAGTGGCATGATGATAGCAGCAGCAGGAGCTGTTGGGGAGGCCTGGGAGTGATGCCGGGGGCTGGCTTCCACTGGGGGCTCAGGAGCTGATCACCTGGGGGCAGCCCCCCAGGGTGCTGGCTACCCAGGGGCCTCGGGGGTGCCAAGGTTTGAACCAGAGTCTGTACATGAAGAATGTGTGCTCTGGCGTCTGCCCGGCCCTTAAGTGTGCAGTTGGTAGTCCAGTGGCCTTTTTGTTTTGTTTTTTGGTTCCGATCCGGCAACACTCAAGTAATTTTTGGTTTGGGGCCACACCTGATGGTGCTCAGGGCTTACTCCTGACTCTACACTCAGGGATCACTCCTGGCGGTTCTTCTTTCTTTTTCGGGGGAGGGGGTTCACACCTGGCGATGCACAGGAGTTCCTCCTGGCTCTGCACTCAGGAATCACTCCTGGCGGTGCTCAGGGAACTATAAGGGATGCTGGGAATTGAAGCTGGGTCGGTTGTGTGCAAGGCAAACGCCCTCCCGCTGTACTATATAGCTCCAGCTCCCAACTCCTGGCAGTTCTTAGGGGACCATATGAGGTGCTGGGGATCAAGCCTGGGTCAGCTGCGTCAAAGGCAAGAGACCAACCCACTGTGCTATCACTCCGGCCCCTCAAGGAAGCATTGGGAAGTCAGATGGGCTTTGAGGAACAGGCGGGCTGCTAAGTCTGAATATCAGAATGTGAGGGGTTATGAGCCCTGGTTGGTCTTTCCTGCCAGCAGCCTGGGAGCAGCGTCTCCCTGTCACCATCACTGCCAGCTTGGCAGAGCCTGGCAAGGGGCCCATTTCTTGGGAGGCTTGAAGTGACAAAGTGGCGTGGGAATGGGAAGGGGCACCTCTCAAGGCAGGGAGCCGGCTGGCAGGCTTGGGGGCACACCGCTGTTTCTTGATTCTCTGCTCTCGAGTCGAAGCGCCATTCTAGGACCCTAATTGTGGGGTGAACATCTCAGCTGGCGTGCAGGCTCTCCGCAGGAGCCCTGGCGTCCAGCCCCAGCACCACTAAGTGAGGGGAGGGGGTGACCCCAGAGCACAAAGCCAGGAGTATCTACCGCGAAACCAAACCGAGCCCAGTTCCAGGCAGCTGGCGCAGTGGAGACTAGGTGATTCCACCCGGGGCTCATGGCAGCTCTGAGTTGCCCTTCAACCCTGAGGAGGGTCCCTGCAGCTTGCAGTAGGACAGCTCCGGAAACTGGAAAAACCAGCCCCAGGCTCTTACCTGGGAAGGGCCCTGCACTTGTGTGTGGGACGCAGGGATGCTGTTCTGCGATGTCCCGGCTGAGAAGGCAGCCTGGGCACAGGGGCTCTGGGGAGAGAACATCCTACCTAGCCAAGCCTTAGTCCCAGGAGACGGAACGGCGACTTCATCCACATTGCACACTAAAGGGGGCGGGAAACTGAGGCACAGAGCTGTGAATCCAGAGCTTCTCAAACCTCCTGGCCTCGGGACCTCTTTAGTTTTCAGGTCACAGGACTTTTTCATTCCTAGTTCCTGCTAACCGCTGCTACAGGGGCCCTGGGACATGTGTGCATGCGAGCACTTAGAGCCTCTTTATTCTGGGTATGGGAGTGCACACCCAGCTGTGCTCAGGGCTCACTCTTGGCAGTGCTTGGAGGACCACATGGATGGGCGCAGGGGATCAGATCCCAGTTAGGTGCACACAAGGCAAGTGACTTACCCACTGCTTTAACTCTCCTGCCCCTAGGACCTCTTTACGCTTTGAAATACTGAGGATTCCAAAGAGCTTTTGCACAGGTGTATCTTTTTGGGTGCGGACTCCTAAACAGTGCTCAGAAAGCCTGGGGTGGGATATAGCCAACTAGACCACACGGGTGAAGGTGAGACCTGAGGAGGTGATGCAGCTTGGGCTCTCGGGT